TGGTATAAAACCTTATTATAAGCTACCAGCCGTATAGATCAGTGTTTAAAGTAATAATAATACATTATTATTAATGTAATAATATTATTAAAATAATAATAATACAGCTGATGCCATCTGTCGGCAGATAAGAACACTATCAACTGGCTTGTCAACAGTGGCCATAAGGTACAGCTTACGCCATCTGTTGAGATCAAATTACACCTATAACAAATTACCCTGCAAAATACAACTAACGCCATCTCTATTTTTTCCAACGCACTATAAATAGCCAAACAGCAACCCATAAGGCGAGTTGTTGTGCTCTGGTAGGAGGTTCCAAGCTCCGCCCACAAGAGGTATGGGGTGCATAATAAATGGCATATCATTGGTAGATATTCTTTGTTGACATTCACACAACAGCCAATCACAGGAAGGGATCAGCTAAAGGCTCCATCCACTTAATAAATCATCTTTATTCAGCACACCATCCTTGCTTATGACATTCTGCTTCAACTTTAATCGACCTAAAAAGTAAAATGTTAAGTATTTAAAAGTATTAATATAGTGATAATTAAATACTGCAGGATGTAACGGGTGTTACAGAAACATGGGCTGGCTACCTAACTTGTGACGTCATCAGTGGGGGTTGCCTAGACACAAATATATTTATTTATTTATTTGTATTTATTTATTTATATCGCATCGATGATACGACGCCCACCACCTTATTAGACTAAAATTTTCAGTTAGATGGACATTTCTATCAGGTGCAAAATATAGATGTTATTGTGCCAAAGGACGCATTTTTTAGTTTGCATTTAATTCATAAAACGAGTGTTGCCATTCCACACAACAGCCAATCACAGGAAATTGAAACTGAAATAAGTTTATTGAGGTAAAATACACACAAAGGGATGAGGTAGCTCAGGCTATTCTCACCCCGTTCAGTACATCGTGTTAATACATACATAGACACACATCACAAACAATAAACATATTACCAAACATTCTGAGAGATAAAGATCTACATTTCCTAGAGAATCACAGGAAGGTATTTCCTGTGCTGGGTGAGCTGGACGCACACCGATCTAGCTTATGGCTTTCTGTTTCATCTCTTGTATATTTAAAATATGAGTTTTTCGACTGCTATGATCATTAAAAATATCCTTCGTCCTCATCCAGACTGATGAATGTCACCAAACTACAAGAAATCCTCCAGGATGAGACCAGATTCAAGAGGATTGCCAGAAACGAAATTGAAGATATCAAGAAGAAAGTCAACCGTGTAACTGATGCTGTTAATGCTAAAAAAAAGGCAGCATCCACCTGCAAAAGGTACAATGTGACTACAACCTAGGATACATTTACGGCAATGTCTAAACCCACAAGCCTAGTAATCCTTTACGACCCATCATCTGCCTTCCCTACACCCCCACGTATAATCTAGCTAAATGGCTCAGCACTCTCAAGCGTTTGTACTAAACCACTCTTGGAGTTAGACTGATGATTATCGATTGATTGATTAATGAAGATTAAGCCACCCAAGAGGTGGCACGGGCATGAATAGCCCGTAAGTAGAGGCTGTTTGGACCCATTACTAGCACCAGTAGCTGTCATGATGATTTGTTGTTGTTTTAGATTCAGGCTACTGGGAACAAAAGTTCTTAGTAGCACGGGCTATGGTGAGCCCGTAGTGGACTTCGCAGGAGCGGTGTGAATGATGATTCGTTGTTGGTATTATAGATTCAGCTACTCGGAACAAGTTCCAAGAAGCACGGGCTATGGTGAGCCCGTAGTGGACTTACCTGGCACAGGAGCGGTGCTGAATGTGTGAATGATGATTGATTGATTGATAAAGATTAAGCCACCCAGGAGGTGGCACAGGCATGAATAGCCCGCAAAATGATGATTCGCTATCAATTGCTTATATTACCAGTCCACACCTCACCTGGTCACTGTCTAACAGGTTTGGGAAGAGGTATTAACTGTAATTAGTGGACTAAGTAGAATTAACAGACCCCTCTTATTATCTGCACATTAGCTAATGAGAATATGGAGCAAATCTATTACTGACAGAATATACTTGCTACAAATCTTGCTTCAATGACAGGCTCCAATATGTCTCTGAATAACATCCCACCCTACCCAGTAACATTGATGTTCCACAGGGCAGTATACTTGATCCTCTCCTCTTTCTCATTTAAATTTATGACCTTTCAAATGCCTCATAACACCTCAAGCCAATTTTATTTGCTGATGACACAACTTTATATTTTTCCAGTCCTAACCCTGTTATTCTGAATGACAACAATAATACTGAACTAAATAAATAACTCGATAAAAGCCAAACCGTGAATGAATACACTCTGGCTTCCTGTCCCCCGACACAGTGAATTATTAATTATATAAAACTCTGAATTGTAGTGCCAATCCTAACCTTAAACGCGTCTTAGAGGATTGTAATAGAACCCAAGTGCACATGGGTTCTAGTGTAGAACCCATGGTCCACGGGCACCACACTAGAAACAAATATCTATTTAATATTCCAAGAGTGCGACTTAACCAAACTAGAAACGTTATGCAAATCAAGGTTCCCAAAATGTGGAGTGACCTTCCTAATCACATCAAAGACTGTCCCTCTCTCAACCAGTTTAAGATAGAAACTAAGTACTACCTAATCAACTCCATGTAACCTACCTTACCTCCTAAATGTCAACCTATATCTGGGCCTATGTCAGGCCCCGTCAGGAAGGGGCCTGACGGCTAAGTGGACAGCGCTCGGTATTCGTAGTCCTAAAGTTCCGGGTTCGATCCCCGGCGGAGGTGGAAACAAATGGGCAGAGTTTCTTTCACCTTGATGCCTCTGGTCACCTATCAGTGAATAGGTACCTGGGGGTTAGACAGCTGCCACTCGCTGCTTCCTGGGTGTGTGTAACAAAAAGGAGGCCTGGTCAAGGACCGGGCCGCCGGGACGCTAAGCCCCGAAATCATCTCAAGATATGTCTTGCTATTATCAAACATTAATGGTTTATGACTAACTTGTAAAACCGCTGATATCTGCCAATGTATAAACTTAAGAAAATTGTAATCCGTCTGTTTATGTATTAAAAATTACATTCTGTTCCTCTGTTGCAATTACTACTCTTAATTCAACATGTAATTATTGTCATCCTTCTACTTCAGTTCAGTCCATGCTTTTGATCTCAAATAGTCCAGTCTTAAGTCTTAGTTTTTAATTTTTTCCCACATCTTGCCCGGAACGCTGAGCATAATAGTGGCTTTAGGCATAGAATATAATTAGCTCTATCTTGAAATCCAATATTCTGCTTGTAACTTAATATGTATGTACAGTATGAACTTTTACCTAAATACAAATTTATTTATTTTGTTTTTATGTAAGTAGTTAGAGAGTTCAAAGTACTTCACAACATTTGTTCTGAAATCAGTGATAACAGGGCAGTCACAGATATAGTGTTGGAGAGTATGTCCCAGCTCTTGTTTACATAGTTTACAATTGGAAGGTTCACCATTGGGGGGATATATTTATTTATATATATATATATACAAGAAGGTACATTGGGGGTTAACAGAAAACATAGAATTTAAGTTGAATTTACATTCATGTAAAGCCGCTAGCACGCATAGCGTTTCGGGCAAGTCAAATTAAATAAAATCAAAATGTTTATTCAGGTTAAGTACATACATACAAGGTGAGATACAAACATTGATGGATTTATTGATAGAGCTGGTACATACAAAGCCTAAAGCTTACGCAAAGCGTTTCGTTTCGTAATTTAGTCCTTAAACTAACAGATAATTTTTAGATAATTAACAGTAAAATTGACAAAAAATGTTTACAGGTATTTTACAGCTTTACTTTACAGGTACAGATGATTTTAAGTAGAAAAATTACAGTAAAATTACCTGCATATATCTCGATATCCCCAGGTTAATTCTGCCAATTACAACACCACACTGTCCCGTGGATGTTTTATGCTGCCCGTGTATATATAATTCTCGGATCTAAACATGTCATACACCATTTGGTCACCACTTGGTCCGGGAGACACGCAGGGTGCAGTTGCGCCTCCACAGATCTCCAGTATCATCTTTTGATACTGGTAATGGCTCGAAAGGGCCACCACTTACGGGCTATTCATGCCCGTGCCACCTCTTGGGTGGCTTAATCTTCATCAATCATCAATCTACTCATCTATGGGAGACATTTCCCGTCACGCAGGGTGCAGTCGCACCTCCACAGATCTCCAGTATCAGCTCTTGATACTGGTGATGGCTCAAAAGGGCCACCACTTACGGGCTATTCATGCCCGTGCCACCTTTTGGGTGGCTTCATCTTCATTTTAACATATTCTCACGGGAGACATCTCCCGTCACGCTGGGTGCAGTCGCACCTCCACAGATCTCCAGTATCATCTATTGATACTGGTGATGGCTCAAAAGGGCCACCACTTACCAATTCATGCCCGTGCCACCTTTTGGGTGGCTTCATCTTCATCTTAACACATTCACAAGGGAGACATCTCCCATCATGCAGGGTGCATTCGCACCTCCACAGATCTCCAGTATCAGCTCTTGATACTGGGAATGGCTTAAAAACACTTACGGGCTATTCATGCCCGTGCCACCTTTTGGGTGGCTTAATCTTCATCAATCAATCTTCATCAATCAACATGTCATAGCTCTTTATTCTCGCGTTTTCTGATCTTTGAGTGCCAGTGATTGCTCCTGTGTCATCTCTAATTTCCTGAAATATTGCGGCTCTTACTACTGAGAACTGCGCTTGTTGCTGCGCTCTCTGGCCCGCTTTCCTGGCTCTGGCTTCTGCTTAGCTTTTTGTAATCACTACCATTTATTTACCTCTACTCGTAAAAGTAAATATTTTCACAAATATCGTAATATGCAAAAAAATTATGTAATTCATATTTTTGAACGATAAGCATCCGTTTGAGGAGTTACCATTGTTCAATTGCGGGAGGTGAACAACTGTGGTCCAGCTGTTTACAAGTGAGAGAGTGGCGACCACAGGACCATGAGCAAGATCCCTTACCACGACGATCTTGAGTTTCCTTTCTGCGATGATGTTATTAAATACGAAAAACTGGCTAAAATCGGACAAGGAACTTTTGGGTAAGTATACAGAAAGATATGAGGGTGTTGGTGGGCGTGTGAGTGAACATTAACACAAGGGAAGTGTGTGTGTGCGCATTTACGGGTGACCATAGGCCCCCAACACTGGCTCCTGTAGGGACTCTCACCATGTGAATTCTATAAATATCAGTGTAAGGATAACTTTGTTACTATTGAAGCAGATCAGTAATTGTCTGGGGTGTAAGGGAAATTCCAGGGGGACTTACGGCTGGATAGACACGCCGAAAGTATTTTTATGGCAATTTTAATATTGCTCGTTCCTCTTTTGAAATCTAGACCTCGTTCAAAAAAACGACTATTGCTTTCTCAGCAATAATTTGAGAATCCTCCGAGAATCCTATATATTATTTTTTTATATTTTAACCTAAGGATTGTGAATGTATTTGATACAGACCTATTTTCTACTGTACTACTCGGAGATAAATTTCTGAATTTACCTGAAGGCCACCATCTCTCTAGTGGCTGCAATGGGAACAGAAAGCCCACAGCTTATTAAAAATCTCACTATTGTTCTTGACAATTTTTTCAAGAATTTTTCAAGATCTGCTCCATACTTTTGCTCCTATGGATTTTCTCAATACAAGGTTCATTCATAAACACTCAAAGCCCTTATAAGGGCTTTGTAATTGTGGCTCGCTTGAAAAAATTTCATGATCCAGAGCATGGGCACAGGGTGTGCTGTGGGTACACATCACCTGTGTACAGGCATGCTCTGTTTTTTTTATTTTTACCCATGTTGGCCATGCCTCTGCTGCGTTATTCAGAACTGTATTTGTTTATGGTTTTTGTTTTGGTCATTGGCTTTCCTTGCCCTTCCTTTCCTTATGGGTAAGACAATGGTAGTTACCCACTTACCTACCCAGCCTAGGTTTTTAGTTTAAAACACCTGGGCAGGTTAAAAAAAAAAAAGTTGCTTTAATATGGGCCAACTTAGTTATGTCTATTTAACCAACTAGGTTATGTCTATTTAAATGTAAACTTGCATTTTTTCTTTCTTGTTTAAATACTGTACTGTAAATAAAAATCACAGGACTTACTTGACTGTGCACCCAGGCATTGTAAGCTTGCTCTCATGTTTTACTGGATTCCGACAGCTTTGTTGAGCACCTTCCATATATACATTGGTGACATTGCACACAATTGCAGTCAGGAGGAAAAAGCAGTATTACTGTACCACAACTACTATAACTTCATATTTTTGTGTATAATTATTATTTATAGGTTTACATCATTATTTATATAATATTTGTCTAAATATGCACAAACATGCGTCACTTCCTATGTGGAAATTCACAAATTTTGATAAATGGTTCAGAAAGAGCAGATTTCTTAAATTTTGGATTTCATGCAAATCCTAATTGGGTCCAGATGGTATGATTCAGATTTTGGGGGTGCCATTGTACAGTATTTAAAAGGTTAATTTTTGTTTAATTTGTTAAGTACAGTTCTGTGTTGTATTTATCTATTATACAATATATAACTTTACTGGTATGCATTATGTATTAAATTGTAAGTGCTTATTTTTCAAAGCAAGAATTTTGTAAATATTGTGCTGTAGTACCACATTTGGTGCTGTATAGGTATTTAGAAATGGTCAATCTTGATTTAAAGTTTAATTGTTCAAATCTCCACTCATGACAATAAAAACTTAGGCCCATTGTCTTCTATTCTTTTCTCTAAGTTATGTATGGTATAGTACAGTAATACAGGTGACTTAACTTTATTTATTTTGTGCTAATAGAATTGAAGATGTGGAGTGCTGATATTAGCTGTATTATTACGGTATGGATGTTGAAACAAACACATTTTGTATACGTTTTATCTCAAGTTCTTAAATATTATTTCATAGGTGTTACATGATAGACCCAGAAATATTAGTCTGCATGAGCAACAACATAAGCTTAAGCTGAACTACTACTTGCTTGCAAAGCTACACGTGACATCTTTAACTTTGAATTGGTGTTTACTCCTTGTGCTTTTTGATAAAATTACTTCATGCCTTATCTCCATTTCAGTGAAGTATTCAAAGCTCGTGACAGAAGAACAGGCAAGGTTGTGGCACTCAAAAAGATTCTCATGGAAAATGAGAAAGAAGGGGTATGTTCAAGTTGTGTAGCCTGCTATTTCAAATTATTTGGAGAGTCATTTTAAGATTTATTTGATGTGTATGTTTTAGTAATTGTATATTTGCTCACTAAGTTTTTAACCAAGAATTTCATGCGACTCCTTGTAATCGCCTGTTCCAAGATTTATATGCTAAGTTATGATAAATAATTTGAATCATATGCTATGATAAAATGAAATGTAGCACTATGAAAAAGTCCTATTTCTAAAAAAAAATTATACAGTAATTGTTTAAATCATTAGTGGGGTGTCATTAGTCACATGGCTTGTAAAAGGTTTCAGCATTACCTTTCTCAACTAAAATCAAATAAATTAAACTGTATGTATATATACTGTAATTATTAAATTTGAAACAGCAACGGCAAATTTGTTTATCAGAGTAATAGACCAATCTATGTAAATTATTTTTAATATTTTATACTTAAATATGTTGGGAGTTTACATAATCTTTGTTAATCCTTCATTATATACAAGTACAGTAATGGCATATCTATAAATTTCTAAATAGATTATGTATTCTCCAGGAAGATACATAGCTTATAAGGTAATGCTTTATTTACATCCCTACATGTTTTACATACTGTAAATATGTACTGTATCTTTCAGTTTCCCATCACAGCACTACGAGAGATCAGAATCTTGAAGTTACTCAGACATGACAACGTTGTGAACTTGCTTGAAATAGCTCGTACTAAAGGTTAGTTAAAAGATGTGCAATGCTCATTATCTTGTGCAAATGAGACTGATTGATTTCATATTGAAAACTGCATAAAGTAATTTTATAACCAGATACCTAAAAAAAAATTGATAGGGGTGGAATTTTTAAGCCAGAGGTTTGTATGAAGTACAGTACATGTACAGTATATTGTTTAGTACTGATGGAATAAGAACTTGGTGATGGCACTATACTAAAATTTCTAACGATTCCAATACTGATGCCGATGGGATGATGATTAAATTTCTATCGATTCCGATACTGAAGCTGACTCCTTTAAAAGCTCTTGAATCTGCTACAGTTATTGAATCCAATTCTGATTATTTTTAAAAATATAATTGGATACTACTTTTTCTGTGAGGAGCCTTGTCGGTTCCCTGAAACTATCTGAACTGATATGTGATGTGTCAAAATAAGATCAAAATAACTCCCCCCCAGAAAGAAACCAAACAAGCAATCCTTCATGTGATTAGCATTTCCACTTATTAGTGCTACCCCCTCTTCCCCTGGGAAGGGGAACTGGCAGTCCACCACTCCAGTTCTTGAACTGATGTGCTGGTGGTCAGGTCAGTGACCTCTGGCCTCAAGTTCCTGTTCTGGATTTTTGCCCTGGGATGTGTTGCCCTGTTCCAACTGTGGTGTGGTGGCCAGGTGTCTTAGAGTACAATAGCAGCATGTGCCTAGAGTGATCTTCTCTAGGTGCTCTGTGAATACTGCCCTTGTGTGTCAGGGGTTATCTTCCCTGGGGCATTTGGGATCACTCCCCTTTTGAGGACTTTTTCGCGTGATGTTGTCTTTGCCCTTGAGGTACGTTGGGGTCTGGGGTTTACGTCTTGCCCCAGGTATGGGAGTGTTATTGGCTGGGTGGCGCAGCTTGCTTTATTTCAACGCAGCGGCCGATGTTTCTCTCTCTTGCTGCCAGTTTGTTATCTCTTCGTGAGGTTTTGTTTTAATTTATTTTCATTCTCTGGCATTCTCGCCTAGTTTCGACAGAGGTCTGCTTAGCTTCTTATTAGACAAGCCTAGGTTGTGTTGGTAGTCCGCCTCTGTTGCCCCCAAGGTTTCATAGCTGCTACTGGTGGTCAGTTCCACCAGTACTAACAGGGTTCTACCGGCTTAGCTGGCTTCAGTGCTTGGGCTTCCTGTAGGGCTAATTCAACCTACGGGGCTCTGGAAACTCCCTGAGGGCTTGGTTGTACAATGGCTACTTCTATCGAGTCCGCTCTCGCCATTGTGTGAAGTCGAAGGTTGTTCGTTGCTCCTGCCTCAGGGAAACGATCATCTGAACTGCCACTTGTCACGCTGCCTGTTGGGTCAGGGACACCACCGACCCGGAGTCTTGTGGGCCTTGTTCCCCGCTTGTACTTCACTTTCCTCATTCCTTGTCTGTTTGATCTCGGGGATCAGGCAGCGGCTGCATTGCATGCTCAATTCTTCTTTTTGTAACAAGTCAGGTTGGTTTCCTGGTTGGAGACCCCAGAGCTACCCTGCTTGGGTTTTAGGGACCAGGATTTGAGGGTTTCGGGGTCGAGGCGGGTTTAGCTCGGGTGGCTTTGGGGCTACCACTTCAGATTCGGTCGCTGAGGTGGTTGAGCCCGATTTTCCCACCGAGGCATTGGAAGCTTTTCTTCTTGGCGTGGCGTGGAAGAGGGCTCTGCCCCCGAGGATTTCTGGAGCGGGGGCGTGGGGGGAAACCCGCTTGGAGAATGTGTGTTCCTTTAGCCTCTGCTTGGGCCCCTTGTGCCTTTGGGGAGGGGGTTTTCATCCACACCTTCCATTTCTGAATTATTATTACCATATTTGCTGGTGTGATTTGCGCACCCTCGCATTGAACGCATCCATCTATTACTTGGATGTTTTGTCCTGGGGAAAGAATATTGTAACATAAAAACTGATAATAGAGCAGTGCTCATCACTGCCGAGGTGTCGTCTTTGTTTCCTGAGGTTGTGGCCTTACGTTTGAGGGTGGTGGAGGCTTAGGAGGGTTAGTGTGTGCTTTTCAACCCATGTTACTCCTTGTTGCTTTTTTCTGAGTTATAGCTCTGCATGGTGGATTTGATGCATTCTTCATTACACAGTCTCTATCCTAAGCATCTGACATGTGTGGTGAGTTAGTTTCATAATTTTATTTGCATGATAAACAAATCAAATTATGATTTGATTTATAATGCATATTGTAACTAGTTTATCAGTGGAGTTCAGTTCCTGATCCCATTATGCCTTTATCCTTTCCTCTTCCTATCAACCATTGTTAATGGTATTTTCCTCAATAAAGTCCAAAGAAAGCACAGCACTGGCTTGTCCGGGTACAAGAAAACTGTTGACTGAGGCAGTGTGGGTCTCCACAGATACAGGTCACATCATACACATGACGGTTTGCCAATGTATTTTAAAACCTACCTAACCTAACCCAACCAAACCTAATCTTACCCAAAGAAACCTGATCTAACTCAACCAAGCCTAACGCAATGTAATCTAAGTTAATACATCCTAACCAAACGATGCATATAATTTTGACAATCGGGAAAATAAGATGTTGAAAGTACAGTACAGTACTGTACATGATTTGACCGTATCCACCCTTCTCTAATGGGCCATGTGGATGTTTCTGTACAATACTCCATATTGCTGCTGCAAGGACATTTTAGCGTGCTGCTCATGATACTTGGGATGCTCCGACTGGTTTAGTTAGTGATTTTATGCATGAAGGAGGACCTTGAGAGGATGGTCGTATGAACAAGTGTTCGTAAAATGAGAACACCCTGGAAATAACTGTCTTAATTATTTGAGAAGTATCAGAAAATTTTAATTTTGTTAATAAAAATAGATTTTTATTTTCTACTGTTCTGCTTAATTGTGGTATGTAACTAATATTTAAGCATAAAAAATGTTTAATGTTTAAAAATTAATTAATACTGTATTGTGATTCTTTGTTTCCTCTCTAGGTCCGCCACCTCCAGGACTTCAGAAGCCTGCTAAAGGTGGGTTTTACTGTGGTTATCCAGAGCCTAAACTTCTGGTATCCTTAGTATTTTATATTTAAGGGCATTTTTCTGGTCCATAGATGAGGTTCCTTGTATCCTCTCTGAGCCAGAATCATTATGGTCCAACAGGATTGTAATTCTTCTGGGGTTAAACCCATTCCAGTCCTCTGTGGGCATGGACTGTAAGTATAGCCTTGCTTCTGGATTCTTAAATTTTAGTCCTCAGTAAGGTTCATATTTGTTGCCTTTTGGTGGTCTTGATCCAGGAATGCTTGGGCTATTTTTGTGTAGTGTTTGAGGATCTCTTGTAGTTGGTACTCTAGCCTTTCTCAGGTGTTCCTGGACAGGCATCTACTTCACTTCTACATTTTGAAAATGTTGGACAGAGGTATGATATATACGTGGAACCATTTTTGCAATTTCATCCGAAATTATTCTGGTGGTGAAAATGCGACTTCTAAAGCTGCAGTTCATCCTCAATTTGGAGAGCAATATTTACATTCCCTGTCATCTCAAAGATACCTATTTGCATGTATCAGTCCCTCTGAGGTTCGGGTATTTGCTGGAATTTTGGGTCGGGAACACTTAACACATTCAGGCTCTTCCCTCTGCTTTCCTTGAAGTTATGTGGGCTTCTGTCATCAGTCTTGTCTACTGGCCAGGAATATAAAATTGCAGATGTTGGACCATTTCATTTTCATTATTACTGGAATAAAGGTCCATTAGACACTGTCACACTGCTTCCAATGGTTGATTTTGGTTTGGGAGACAGACTGAATCCCAGAAATTGGTTTGACCTAGCTGCCCATCTTCACCTAATCATTGAGAGGCACTGCTCATCTCATCAGCATCTTAAATGTATCATTTTTGTTGCCCTTCAGAATAAAAATTTGAGCGACAATAGAGTAAGGTGCCAAGGATCCAAATCCCAAAAAGCTCAAGAGAAAGCTGGTGACGCAGCAAGCGACAGTGTGTGATCAGAGGTCTTAACCCAATGGTTGTGGCAGCAGCAAAAGGGGCAGAACCAGAAAAACCAGAACAGCCCGCAAAGTCACACCAGCTCCAATTGAAAAACCACACAGGCAAAGTTGAGGTTCGTGCACAAATTGCTCAAGCAAATGCCGAGTCACTTGGGACCACCTCAACATCAGAAGCCAGTGGTACTGCAGCCAGAGCAAGGGAAGAGAAAGCAATGCTAACAGAGTCCAACATTAGGCTCAGCCAAGTCCAAACCTGGTACAAAACCAACACGAACTTCTGCCAGTTCACCAGAAACCTGAACCTGGTGAGCTGGAAGAGAGCCAGATCCCTGGCAAGCAGACACGTAGACTGACTGGGGATCCACTCCAGTCAGTCGTTGGGATTGGCCAGAGCATGAACCCCAACAAAGATGAGTTGCCACGATTCAAGCCAATCTAGTGAAAACACTGGGATCCAGATTGAAGCAAAAAGGAAGAAACCAGTAGCGGTAAATATGAGATGACCCATTATGAAGTGTAAGAAATCCCTGAACCTTGGATGTACAGTACTGTATAGAGATGTATGCTCCTCGGATGTATGGGGATGCTTATTGGTGTCCTGTAGGTCAGGGAAATCTTTCAGTACCATGCCTCCAACACAAAGCAAACCTGAGCCAGAGTGTTAAAGTGGAAAGTGGGGCAGCAGATGAACTTGTTCACTCCCAAAAGATCAAGGATGAAACGAGCTCCATTGAGTCTCGTTTTGAACTGAGAAAAGGCAAGACACCCAGTGATGAGACAGTCATTTCAACCATGCCAGAAGCATTCCACTCAACAATGATTCAAAGAAGGTGAGGGGGAAAGAAGCCTGCCTCAAAAGCCCAGGCCCCAAGGAGTGGGGTAAGGACCAACCGACTCCACTGCAGGCCATGCAAAATGACACAAAAAGTCCACAAATTGTAATACCAGGAGTCGGCAAACCGGGTGAGCCACTCGCTTGCCAGCCTGTTGAGAGGGGCAAACTGTGCAAGGTCCAGCACGAACCATGACTAGTTGTCACCCTCTGTGAAAATGAACCAAGGACCAAGCCGAATCTAATGGCCGAGCCAACACAGCCAGTTGACACACGAGATTGACAGTAAACAGCTTGGGCAAAGTAGGTGATGTTGCCACAGCTGGCAGTAAGGCACCCTTTCCCAACCCAGAGTCAAGTGCATCAATATCCTCACTGAACCAAGCAGTATGGAGCTCCAAGAGGGCCAAAAAATTCATAACCATAACTAAGTTCAAGCAAGCCCGCAAGTCGTCTGCCTTAAAGGCCACCAACAGCAGAGGCAACTAGGCATGTAGCTGCATCATCCCTACATCCCAAGAAAGTGCGGGAGCAAAGAAGCAGAAATTGAATAGCTTAAAAACACTTGAAACAAATGCGGTTGACACCTTTCACCACTCGAGCGTGTAGGAACAACAGATCTTCCCATGCTAAAAAAAAAAAGGGGGGGGGGGCTTGTCTTCTAGCCAGGAAAACTTGGAGACCTCATAGGGCAGCCAGTATGGCAAAGACACAAACTCAAAAGTGGAAGGGTTCATCACAAAGGCAAACTCCGGGTCTCGTAGGAAGTACAGTACTGTACTGTACTTGAAAAGATCCACTTGCATCACCAAAGGGGACCCAAGAGAAAAAACTCCAGAAAGAAGCATCTGGCATGCCAAGAGGCATGCAGAAATGAAATCTGAGGGAAACTGCATTGAGATCAAACTCTTACAAGGAACTGGATAGGAAAACCCCTCATCTTGACACACAAGGCCCTAATATTGGATGGGACCAAGAGAACCCAAAGCTCCCTATCCGATTCCCCCAAAACCCCAGAAACCAAACACAAAAGTTCTGGGGCATCTGGTTTCCTTACTTTTAACCCTTGAAATGTGCACGTCAAACAGGGATGATCATGCCATATCTGACTGTAGTGAGCGAGTCAATGAGGGCTAATTTAAAGAACTGGTTAAAATTTAAAAGTTCAATGCATACACAGGGCTCACATCTACTTAGTTAGGCCTCCATTAAACAGATGCCATCTTAAAAAAAAATCTAGAAAAAAACCAGATATCCAAGGTTTCTGGGTCTTTCCAGTCGGCTCCCTCTTCTGATGCCTCTACCTGTCGAGTTGTCTTTGGATTCTACTTTTCTATCCTGGGCAGTGGGCGTGGATGTTGGCTCTCTTCAGGGGCCCTCTTCTGCGGTTCCCGAGGCTTGGGGGGTTTCAAATTAGGCCCTTGGGTCCCACAGTGACCCTTTGTGGAGGGTCTTTTGTTGCTGGGGTTGGGGTTTTCTTATCCCCCCCTCCTTGTATTCATTAGATAGGGTGCAGCGCCACCCTGGGTTCGTTTCCTAGTGCCTTTGGGTTTTTCGGTTTTGTCCTTCCAGAGGGTTTTCTACTTGTCGAGTCCCCTGGTGGGGGTTTAGGAGGTGCATATCTCTTGTGTGACCCAGATTCTGCCTCATTGATGGATCTGGTCTCCTTTGAATTGCATCTGATCCTCATGCCTCTGTGAGAGGACCAGGTTCTGGCTTGGGTTTCCAGTAGGCCAATAGAACTGCAGCCAATGTATCTTCGTAGTACTCGCCTAATTGTACTCGCCTAATTGTGCTTGCGGGGGTTGAGCTTTGGCTCTTTGGTCCCGCCTCTCAACTGTCAATCAACTGGTGTACAGATTCCTCAGCCTACTGGGCTCTATCATATCTACATTTGAAACTGTGTATGGAGTCGGCCTCCACCACATCACTTCCTAGTGCATTCCATTTATTAACTACTGACACTGATAAAATTCTTTCTAACATCTCTGTGATTCATCTGGGTACTAAGTTTCCACCTGTGTCCCTTGTTCGTGTCCCACCCGTACACTATCAGTGGTACACTATCAGTGGTAGTAGCTTCAAGGGGCCACCGGGGCTCGCCTAGAAATTGGTGTTTCATTACATTCAGCTTTGTTTTTTCATAAATTCTGAAAAACTTGACCTTCATATCATTTATTTCCTTGCCTAACAACGTTTTTCCAGTCAAATTCATTGAAGATCTTGCCGAGTTCCCCATAGTGTCACTCCTGAAATAAAGTTTTCATGTATTTCATTTTCCATAGTCTCTTTTAGATCATAATGTATTGTGTGTTTGTTATACATATTACAACAGATATCTGCCCTTGTGAATTGTAGCAACACTAGCCCGAGTGTGTTATATGAGATATTTTTCTTATGTCTTTATTTCCCTGATTTGACAAAATATTTTCTTTTACCTTGTACCTAGGCAAAAATTTATCTTGTTAATTGTCTACATATACAATTTTGGTTTCTAGTGGGTTGTTATGGAATTGGAGTTAATAGTAGTAGTAGGTATAGAGAATAGTGGGAAGATTGTTTGGGATCAGGCAAGTGTGTGTACAGATACATATGTATTTTTCTCTATATAAATTAATTGTTAATTTATATTCATATTTTATATACGTCTTAAAAATATTGTTATTTCCCATCAGCAACGCCACATATGTCCAGTCTTTCTACATTCTTCTTGGTGTTTGAATTTTGTGAGCATGACTTGGCTGGATTACTCTCCAATGTCAACGTAAAATTTAATCTTGGGGAAATTAAGAAGGTGAGTGCTAACCTCTCATGAAAGTACAGTATATAAAAGAAAAAACTGAGGGCTGATGTGATACCAACCATATTACTTTAGCTTCACTGTGTTTTGGATGAATGTTAAAGCAGTTCACTTTAGTACAGTATAGGGTTGAAAGAATTATTGATATAATTATATTGTATCAGATATTTTTTGAGTTTCAAACTAGGCCCACCCACGTCCAGAATTGAAATGGAACCACTTGGGACTTCCGCCAGTTCACTAGGAACCTTATATCAAGCTATGTGCAGATATAGCTCCACTGCACAAGGGAGGGAGGTAGAGCTTTGGCTAAAAACTATGACCAGTCATACTGACATCACACATAATAAAAAGTTTTTGAAAGGGTGGTTAGGAATCAAATCTCAAGTTTTATGGAAAACTTTTGAACTTCATAACCCAGGTTAACATGGATTCAGAGCAAGAAGATCCTGTTTTTCGCAATTACTCAACCACTATGACAAAATCACGGAAGCATTAGAATAAAACAAAGCAGATGTTGTATACATCAGCTTTTCAGTGGCATTTGATAAGTGTGACCATAGAATGATGGTAAATCGCTCTGTACCCCAGGGCACAGTCCTTGTACCACTGCTTTTTGTCATTCTCATATCATATATAGACAAAAAATACTAGTCACAGCTTCATGTTATCATTTACAGAAGATACAAAAATTAGCATGAAAATTAGTTATTTAGAAGACGCTGAAAAACTAAAAACTGATATTTATTAATTCTTCAATTCGGCAACAGAAAATAACATGGTTTGACAGTGATAAGTTACAGATATTTAAATATAGTAGAAATGAAGAACTTTTAACAAAATACAGGGTATAAGACACAATGAAACCTACTCATAGAAGGAAAACAACATGCAAAAGATCTGGGAATTATGTTGTCTGATCAGAGAAAATAGTCAAGCAAATACAGTATAGCATCAGCCAGGAAAATGATAGTATGAAATATGAGAACATTCAAATCGAGGGATCCCACTACAATGTTAATACTATTTAAATCACTGGTACTGTCCTCCCTTGAGTACTACTCGGTACTAATTTCACTTTCGGAGCAGTAGAGATTTCTGAAATAGAGGGAATTCAGAGAGCATATTTGACACATATCAAACACAATAAAGCATCTAAATTATTGGGACTGTTTCATAGCTTTCAAAATGTATTCACTGAAATGGAGACAAGAGGTATGAAATAATAGGTACAAGAAAGATAATGGAAGGCCAGGTCTCAAATTTGCACGGTAAAATAACAACTTATTGGAGTGAAAGTTATGGATGAAAATGCAGAATAGACCCAGTGAAGAGCAAGGGTGCCATAGGCACAATCAGAGAGCACTTGTATGAACATCATAGAAATTTCATGATGCATTCTTATTTAAAACACTGTTACAGGTATTTAAAGCTCAGGTGCCTGTTAATACCACACAAAATTTAAAAAATGATGAAAGTTGTTGAAATGGTTATTTCTGTTAACCAGATTTTCCAGTTTCTGGACACCCAAAGGTTTCGATTAATCCAGATAAATTTGGGCCGCGCACACTGTGAGAGTAGAAGAGGGGGTTAGGGAGGGGGTCACAGGAACAGGTTTATAACCCTGTGCATTACCTTTAATTCAAATTTGAAACATTTGCACTAAAAATAATGTGCCTATTAAATGCAACTGAAGTTTACTTTGTTAAACATTGTGGCACTAATGTGCTCATTAATTTCCTTTGTTCATTATAGTACTATATAGTATTTCCCTATTATGTTCCTGCCTTAGCAGGAATATAAGAAGAGATTTTCCTCATTAAAAACAAGGTTTGTCAATTTATGCTTACTTTTTATAAAATAGTGTAATTCACACTACAGTATAAAGGCCAAATGCCAGAGTTTATGTATTAATTTGTATGACTTGTACTAATTTGTTAGTCCTCTTTGATTCCAGGTAATGCAGCAATTGCTCAACGGACTGTACTACATTCATTCCAACAAGATTCTCCACCGAGATCTCAAAGCTTCAAATGTTCTTATCACTAAAAATGGAATCTTGAAATTGGCTGATTTTGGTTTGGCTCGAGCATTCAGTACTAGCAGACAAGGTCCAAATAGGTATGTGTTATTACAAAGTTGTTGATGTGCATGTATGTATGTCAGGGCTGTCGTGCTTTGTGTTTTTCAGGCAGAGTTGTCCAACTTAGCTTATGTGGCAAAACTTGACTTGCAAAATAGGCAGTGTGTTTTATTTTTTCATTCTTTCATCATGTGAATTTTTTTGTTTAAATATCAAGATACAGTATCGGCATATTGTATTTGTTTAATTTCTTAATTATTATTTAATATGTCTAAAAAATGTAACACATACAGATATTGGAGAAGAGAGATAAATTTGAAATGGTCAAATGAGGGTCAAGGCAGCAACAAATTCTTGGTGGAAGTGAAAGTGATAATGACATTCTAAAAAGTGCCAGGCATCTGGATCTCGATAAAGAAATAGTTTCGAAATATACTAGTCAAAAAGAAATTTAAAATTGAGAAATATTTTAGCAGGAAAGAGTCCTACACGAGCGTTGTACACGAATGAATGACAACCAAAACAAACGCGTGATCAGAGCTGTTCGACAAAAAACAGGTTGATAATTTCTTGGGTTTACCAAGGAAGAAATAAGAAAATGTGGCATCCTTGGTTAGTGGCAGTAGAAAACATGCTACAGCTCCATGCACAAAACATTCTGATATTAGGGGAAAGAAAGTCAAGGTTTGAGAAGCAAGGGTAACAGTCATGAAAGTAGGTTATTTAGAAAATGAGGTTGTAATCATCTGAAAAGTACACTAATATAATGGGAGAGGTCAAGTTAAGGAATTATTGAAGGAAAACAAAACTTGTAGAGTTAAGGTGAGGGGGATGTTTACTATCAATTTTACTTAGGGATGCAACCCGCCAAGCATTCAAAAAAATTACGACGTTGCTACAATGTTCAAACAAGTTGTAACACCCAATATAACATGTAACAATTTTCTAACATGTTATACCAACTTTACAACAAGATATAACAACTTTGTTACAAGTTGTAACAAGGGCAAAATAGGAGCCAATACATTGTGTGTTTGCAGGGCACTTTAAAGGGTCCAACTGTGGGGAGATCCTTATCAATCGACTTTGTCTAAAACTTGAATCACGTTTGTCATGGAAGTCCCCCAAAGTTAAGGAATGCAATGTAAGAGTCCTTCCTAGGATCCGTCTTCATTAAATTTAAGTAAGGCCTAAATAGTATGGAGCTTAGAGCAGGTCACTTGGGATAGTAATTCAAGTAGATTAGCATGGCAATGTAGTGTATAGGATAGCATAAATAACAAATGTACAGAAATGTGTGTTTATTCAGATAATTAAATTGCTACTGCATGGGGAGCAGCTTACTCTGTTTATCAGTGTTGTGCTAAGCTAATATTGCATCAGACACACTTGCTGTTTTGCTGACCAGTCACATGGCAACACACATTGATAACCCTATCTTGACAGTTTTTAACGCCGATCTCAAGACTCGGCTTATCCTAACTGCTGGATGCAAGAGAAATAATGAGGGTTCTGTAGGATACTTGGATACAATGACAAAATTAACACAATAATGACATACATACAGTATATATAAACTGAAGTGTGGTGTGTTTCAACACACAAAATTACCGTTCACGAATGATTAATGTGATGCAGAGTACCACTTGAACATCATCAATAATAAACACAACTTTCACCTGTTCTAGGTGCTGAATGATGTGAGCAGGAATTTTGTGAATCGACTTTTTAGATTACTTTAATGGCCAGTCTTCAAACCCATTCACACCACATACATGCTCAGTTAACTTTGTCTGACAACTCCTCAAGGTGACACACACATTTTGGTTAGGGACTTCACACATGGTCAGCCAGTACAAGGATGGCAGTGACATGTGGTCAGTAGCAGAGCAGTCGCAACTCGAACTGTACGTTGGTGTGGGCTTCGCTACATTAAGGCATGTGGTTCATCATGCGGGTTCACACGTGGCAGCTCACGACTTGGACAAATGGCAGATTGTCATAGTAGAATTCCTTTCTCACAGATGGATATAAGCTTAACACACTTCAATCTATACCATTAATTCTGTGCACTGACTGTACTGCAATGACGTTCCCTTAAATGTTCAGTTACTCTTGGGATCACTCGGATAAATCGTGATGAAGGTCTTCACTCAGGCTGTTACATCTGGTTACCTTATTGTGATTTTTCTGTATCTTCATCAGTTCACTGTGATTGGCTTAAATAAATTACACCACAGGATTCCTGGCTGCTTTGCAGATTCTTTTATGAACTACTGTATATGGCTTAACTAGACATTGTCTTTGAACTTAGACGATGTTAGTAAAACTGTTTTGCCTAATTGCTCTACACCACACGCCGTGAGTGCAGAACAGAATTCTGGTGCATCGATAAGATATACACCAATAGCTATCCAGGAACTTTGTAAGGCTTCCACCAATCAAGAAACCGTTTAACCGTGTAGGTATATTGTTGCCTCTGACAAGGTCACATGGTGTAGTGATGTCACAGATACGTCACTGCCACGTCATCGTGGCTGGTCACAGCAGCTACAGTTGATCTTACCCAAGGCGATCCCAAGGTAATCCCTTGGGATCGCCTGGGGTAATATACTGACCTGAGGAAATTCCTTGGGATCACTTGGCTTTATACCACACTCAACAGCTAGCCTAAGATAGTGAAGAAAAGCTTTTTCCTCTATACCCATAGATGTTAATGCAGCATAACTTTTGCTGAAACAACCTTGCACTGTACCTTGCAGCATTAGCATACTGCTCAAGCCAAGAGTTCATATTGAACATCAAACATACTAGGTCTATCTATAGCATTAACGGAGATAGCAAAATGCACTTGTCCTGTACATTTGAGCACAGTGGGTTGATTCTGCAACTCCTTTGACCACCTAACACCCTTACAATAGTGCAACATGAGCCAGTGGTGGTAATCTGAGAGAATGCTCTCTCACATTTGGAGAAGGGGGAAAAAATGGGATGAAACTGTAGAAGTAGTTTGGGCAAATCTACAAGCCAGTCTATATGACAAGATACATAAGGATTTGTTAGCAGTGCAGATGGAGTAGGTTGCTCAGGGGGTTAGAAAAGTGCAAAGAAGAAATGAAATAAACCTATGCACAACTGATCAGACAAAATAAACAATCCAACAAGTGGGGCACAGACATTGGATAAGTAATCAGAAAAGAACTGGCATCCAACAATAAATTAGTACAAAGCACAGTGGACAATAGTAAATTCCTAATATTCGAAGGAATATTAGGAATTGGGTTGTAAGGAAAACGAAATACCATCTAGGGGTGGTAGACAGAGTCCCAGAAGAGGCAAAGATTATAGACAAAGTTGTTGGGTCAATAGAAGTTTTCACAACAAAAGATATTGTTAGTGATTATAGAATAGGTAACTATAAAAAAATAAACAATTGCCACTTAAACCCTGGGTTTTGCAATCGATTATGATATGATATAACCCCTGGTGTGCAAGAAAAAACCAGCGTTGACTGTAATGAAGTGCCAATTTATGGGTGAGCTCCGGTGGCTCCCTGAAGCTACTGTGCTGATATAATGCAAACTACTAGGTGCTAATAGTTGCAGAGTTCTTTTAGGCCTACCAGGGACTATGAGCCAGAACATGATCCACTCTAAAGAGGCGTGCAGAGTGCAGTGGCACTATGATAAAATTCTCAGTGAATTTTAATCATATCTGAGGAAGCACCCCACAAAGTCAGCAAAACAAAACAGGATACTGCTGGATATAAGAAATATTAATACCTTAGTCTCCAAGAGAATTCTACAACAATGTAAACAATTGAAAAATCATGAAACTAGTGCAAGCTTATTTGCCCCCCCACCCATTCCTCATTTGGGGGGAGGAGGGAGGCAGCCAGGGGTCAGCCAGCTGCTCCACCCTCAGTTTCCTCTGGAGTAATGTGTGTCGGGTGCCCTCTGTCGCTCTGGCCTCAGTGTGCTTTCTTATGGTGTTTTACCGTAGTGGATATTCTTTATTGGATGTCATGTGTTCTGCTTCAGCTAAATGGTGGTTTTTTGCCTTTGTGGCTTTTCCAATGTGTGTTTGTGCTGTGTTAGCCAGGAGAATATGGAAGCCATATTCTGGCTCTTGGTCCCCGGTAAGCTGTAGAACTACGCAATGGTGCCATCTACTAGAATGGCACCTAGTAGATGGCACCTACATCGGAGATAGTAGGTTCAAGAAGCCACTGGGGCTTGCCCAGAAATTTGAGTTTCATTACTCTTGACACTGGTTTTATGAAATAACATGTCAGCAGAAAGCATGTTCCATACACTGAGCAGTATTGGTACTGTAAACTATAACTGTTAAGTAACAGTGATTCTGTATCTATATTGGTCATTCTTTGGCAATGATTACTATTTAATTTACCTTATCTATAAATAAGAACATGAAAATAAAGTTTTTTTAATTTGCAGGTATACGAATCGTGTTGTTACTCTTTGGTACCGGCCACCAGAGCTTCTCTTAGGAGAAAGAAATTATGGACCCCCAGTTGACATGTGGGGAGCTGGCTGCATAATGGCTGAAATGTGGACTCGCACACCAATACTACAGGTATGGATGCATTGAATTTTTATGAAACCCATGTTGTTAGATATTATCATAGGAGATACTGTATATTGTTTATACACCAGGGAAATGTTGGTAGGTAGCCTCAGTATCATAACCAAATTCATTGTATGTAACATTTGTAACATAAGATTTCACCTAAGTTGTACAGGATTACCTACATAATATGCAAACCGGGAAGGTAACTACTGGATCTGTCAAAGAGACAGACAGATGTGGGAAAACATCACCAAACTAATGAATAACATTCCTGAAGAACACAGGCTACAATTCACACAAAAACTACCAGAAATATATGCAGAGTATATAAAGACAGCAACGAACTCTGAACACAACCCAGGGACTGAGAATTTAGAGAGTCAAAGTAGCAATGTAGAAGGGTATAGTGTCGAGGTACACAAAAATGAAGGCAATATTGTAGAGCACACTGGTGATATGAATAAGGAGAGAAAAAATGAGACGAATGAGAACACAAATGAGAAAGACGAAAGCAACAAGGAGAAAGATAAGGGCAATACCGAGAATGAATGCAGAAACGAGAAAGTTGGAACAAAAAACACAGAGGTAGCCAAGTCGTGCACGGGTACAAACAAGAATAATACAGTCACAAATGAAAATATTTGCTGGTATTATGCAAAAGGAGAGTGTAGATATGGGCCCAGAGGCACGGAATGCTCATTCATGCACCCACGGAAATGCCGAAACTGGTTAGGGAAAGGCAGATGTCGTTTTGATACAGAGTGTAGATATTTTCACCCTAAGCTATGCACACTCTCAGTCAATGAGAGGAAATGCTACGATCTTCACTGCCCCGATTTCCACGTCAGAGGTACACAGCGCCATATAAGAGAAGAAGTCCAACATAATAGCCCTGAAAATTTTTTAGAGGCAGGTACAAACAGAGGGAGAAACAGACAGGCAGAAACGTGGCAGGAGTACGGATGGAGAGGGGGAAATGCCCAAGACTGGACTACAGTTCGTCATCAAGCCCACACATACTACACCCCCCAACTACACAGAGACTACCACACTCCCCAGTATCACTTCCAAAACTGGACAAACCATTGCCACAACAACACACCCTGGGTCAGGGTAGAGAGGAGGGAGAACTACCAAAACCTTCCAGAAGTTACACACAATATGGACAATCATTCATATTTGCAAACATTCAAGGTTTAAAGCCAAAGTCAAGAAATAAAGTTAAGTTCATAAATGGCCTTCTATTAGAGTCAAACTCAATATTTGGGGCATTCACGGAAACTCATACAAAAGATTACATGGATGGTGAAATCTGGATTCCAAATTATAATCTATATAGATGTGATAGAAAAACTAGGTCAAATGGAGGAGTAGGTCTGTATATTAAAGAAGACCTGGTATGCACAGAACTACTAAATTCAACTAATGAGGTGGTAGAGGTACTTGGAATGAAGGTAGAGAAACTAAACCTAATTATTATTCTAATATATAAACCGCCAGATACAACGATTGAGGAATTCACAGAGCAGATGCACAAAATAGAGAACATACTTGACAACCTAGCAAACCCAGCTCCAGATATTATCTTTTTTGGAGATTTCAATTTACCGAGTCTAAGATGGAGAACGGCAAACACAAATATCATAGCAGGGAATGACCCGGGAAATAACCAACCACAGGTTAGAGAACTTTTGAGATTCTGTGACAAATTCTCGCTCAATCAACAGATTACAGAACCAACTAGGAACGAAAACACACTAGACTTGTTATTCACAAACAATGATGAACTAATCAGGGATATCACAATCTCAGATACTTCATACTCAGACCATAAGCTCATTGAAGTGCGAACTAGCATAAATAACGGTAGTAGGTCTAAGAGACCCAACAAGCGAGAAGGAATATTCAATCAATTCAATTTCAACAATAAGAGGATTGACTGGGAAAAAATAAATGTAGACCTTGCAACCATTCAATGGGAGACTGTCTTAAGCGACAAAACTCCCACACAGGGAATAGCTCAACTGACAGCTGAAGCTTACAAGGTCTGCTTGAAGCACGTACCTGTGAGGAGGGGCAGAAAGAGGACCACTCTAGAAAGAGAACGCAGACGACTGTACAGGAGAAGGAAAAAAATAACGGAAATGCTTCGGCAGACACAACTATCACAAGGAAGGAAAACAAGCCTAAGCAGGGAGATTGAGGAAATAGAACAAACGTTGAAGCGATCATATGAGTCTGAGGAAATGGAATTGGAACAGAAAGCTATACAAGAGATAAGGAAAAATCCGAAATATTTTTTCACATACGCAAAATCAAAATCCAAAACCTCGACCAGTATTGGACCGTTAATTACAAATGAAGGTACGTACACAGAGGACAACAAAGAGATTAGTGAAATTCTAAGAAGCCAATATGAGGCTATGTTTAGCACACCAATAAACAACATGAAAGTTGATGACCCAGACAGCTTCTTTATGAATGACATTCAAGCTGCAGATAATATAACGGATATTACCACAAACTCGGAAGACTTTGAAAGAGAAATTGATAATATGCCTATGCACTCAGCTCCTGGGCCTGACTCATGGAATTCAATATTCATAAAGAAATGTAAAGTACCAGTAGCGAGAGCACTCAGCATAATATGGAGAAAGAGCCTGGATACAGGGGAGATACCAGCAGCACTTAAATCTGCAGATATAGCTCCGTTGCACAAGGGGGGGAGTAAAGCCTTGGCAAAAAATTATAGGCCAGTTGCACTAACATCACACATAATAAGTGTTTGAAAGAGTGATTAGGAATCAAATTTCTAGTTTTATGGAAAACAATGAATTGCACAATCCAGGACAACATGGATTCAGAGCGGGAAGATCCTGTCTGTCACAGTTACTCAACCACTATGACAAAATCACAGAAGCCCTAGAAGAAAAGCAAAATGCAGATGTTGTATACACAGACTTTGCAAAGGCGTTCGACAAATGTGACCATGGGGTGATAGCTCACAAAATGAGGTCAATGGGAATAACTGGAAAAGTAGGACGCTGGATACTCAATTTCCTGTCGAACAGAACACAAAGAGTAACAGTCAATCAGATAAAATCGAGTCCAAGCGATGTTAAAAGCTCTGTACCTCAAGGTACAGTCCTTGCACCGCTACTGTTCCTTATTCTCATATCTGATATAGACAAAAATACACGTCACAGCTTCGTGTCGTCCTTTGCAGATGACACAAAAATCAGCATGAAAATTACCTCTGCTGAAGACATTGAAAAACTACAAGCAGATGTCAACAAAGTTTTTGATTGGGCAGCAGAAAATAACATGATGTTTAACAGTGATAAATTTCAGGTACTCAGGTACGGCAAAAATGAGGATCTGAAACATAATACAGGGTACAAAACACAATCGAATCTTCCCATAGTAGAAAAACAGCATGTCAAGGATTTGGGAATAATGATGTCCGACGATCTAACTTTTAGGGAGCATAACCAAGCAAATATCGCGTCAGCCAGAAAAATGATCGGATGGATTACGAGAACTTTCAAATCCAGGGATCCCATCACAATAGTTGTACTCTTCAAGTCACTTGTGCTGTCCCGTCTCGAGTACTGCTCAGTACTCACTTCCCCCTTCAGAGCAGGAGAGATTGCTGAAATAGAGGGAATACAGAGAACACATACGGCACGCATAGACGAGATAAAACACCTAAATTATTGGGATCGTCTCAAAGCTCTCCAAATGTACTCTCTAGAAAGGAGACGAGAGAGATACCAAATAATATACACATGGAAAATACTGGAGGGTCAGGTCCCAAATCTACACAGTAAAATAACAACGTACTGGAGTGAACGATATGGAAGAAAATGCAAGATTGAACCTGTGAAGAGCAGAGGTGCCATAGGCACAATCAGAGAGCACTGTATAAACATCAGGGGTCCACGGTTGTTCAACGTCCTCCCAGCGAGCATAAGAAATATTGCCGGAACAACCGTGGACATCTTCAAGAGAAAACTGGACGGTTTTCTAAGAGAAGTTCCGGATCAACCGGGCTGTGGTGGGTACGTGGCCCTGCGGGCCGCTCCAAGCAACAGCCTGGTGGACCAAACTCTCACAAGTCGAGCCTGGCCTCGGGCCGGGCTTGGGGAGTAGAAGAACTCCCAGAACCCCATCAACCAGGTATCAACCAGGTATCCCCCTTCCCTTCCAAGATTTTTAACTTTTCAGTGTGGGATACCTTATTTAAACCCTTTTCTGCACCATTTCAATTTTGACTCGATCCCCATCTTGGGGCCAAGATAATGTTTTAATTTTCATTTTGATTTTTTTAATTTTTCTATTATAGCCCCTTGATAACTCACTGAAGCAATCTTGTTGCAATGGCTTCATCCTACCGAGTTACATAAGGTATATGATTTCTGTATGGCCTACCATACAGAAGGTAAGATGATACCATGGATCAGAGCCAGAACCTGGCCCTCTCATAAAGGCACATGGAGCAGGGGGATTGTTACAATTACCCCCGTGGAGAAAACATTTATGTTTTCGTCAGATTGGCACTTGACTTACATCAGTCAAGTCTCGACTAAAAGATCCCGGATTCAATTCCCATGGCTGGATGGAAGTGTTTAGACAGTGTTTTGTTTCACCTGATGCCTCTGTTCACATAATGGACACCCTCATCCTGTAACTACACTTGGTAATTTTTTTTTTTTTTTTTTTTTTTTTTTTTTTTTTTTTTTTTTTTTTTTTTTTTTTTTTTAAGATATATACAAGAATTGTTACATTCTTGTACAGCCACTAGTACGCATAGCATTTCGGGCAGGTCCCTGGAATACGATCCCCGCCGCTAAGAATAGTTTTTACAATCAAGTACTCATTTTACTGTTGAGTTAAACAGAGGCTACAGTTAAGGATTTGCGCCCAGTAAATCCTCCCCGGCCAGGATACGAACCCATGATAAAGCGCTCGCGGAACGCCAGGTGAGTGTCTTACCACTACACCACGGAGACTGGTTATTGCTGTAATTGTTCAGTTACAAAACGGTTACAGCACTGGAATTGCTGTAACTGTTCCTGCTCTGGCATGCCTGTGGACAATTGAGGTATGCCATCCAGACAGTGGGGGAAGGATGTCATCATCAGAACTTCCTGCTCTACTCCACTCCACTCGGGGGTGCCGGTAGTGAAGGACTTTTCTGAGACTTGGACTGGAGTTTTTCTGTAATTGTGGTACCAAGAAGGGGAACGTTCTGCCACAGAAGCCATCTCTGTGAGATAACTTCAGGGAGCCACCAGACCTTATCAGAAAGATGCATTTCTTTACATTCAGTGCTGGTTTTTTTATGATACTTCAACTATTTTTAGTTTTTAGTATTTTTGTTACTAATAATTTTGTGAAAAATGTTTTTTTTTTTTTTACAGGGGAGTACAGAGCAGCATCAGTTGGCTCTCATCACTAAACTTTGTGGCTCCATTACACCTGAAGTTTGGCCATCAGTTGAAAATTATGAACTTTACAACAAAATGGATTTAGTCAAGGGGCAGCAACGCCGAGTGTGTGAAAGACTAAAGCATTATGTTCGAGATAGTCAGGTATAATAAGTTTAGTGACTAAGATATTGCAGATTAGATATTCACAGATAGATATTAGATGTGGATATTAGATATTAGATACATGCAGATAGATATTAGATGTGGCACAAGTTAATATTATTTAAAAAAATGTTTTAATTGTTTAATTATAAGGAATGATTTCCTCATGTGTGTTAATTTTGATTTTCTTCTTTATTTATCACATTAATGTATTGCCAGGTATCATTGGTAAGGATACCTTTGGGTTTCTCAGATTTTCTAGATTCTAAAACCATTTTAACAATGGGGTGAGAAGATTTTGAGCATTCTCAAAAAGAAATCAGCATAAAAAAAAACAAGGTTGTCTTAATACCAGGAAAGGCTCCCAGTAGTTTGTTGCAAATGATACCCCTAAGAACAATTACTCTACAACTAGGTATATTCCTTTCTAGAAGGGGCCCCCTCCTTGGTAGATTCCCCTAGCTAAAGCACAGGATTTGCCAAGTCTTAGGGAGTGGCATCAGGCCTATGAAACCCACTTGAGCCAAGACCAGAATCTGCCAATTTCTATAAGTCATGGGGAGCTTGGGGATTAGAAATGAACCCAAATCTGAGAGATACCCACCAGAAAGTTCAAGTGCATCACAACAAGCAACTGCTTTAAGAAATTAGGTAACCTTGAAAAAAAAGCAATCATTCATTACAACAGGAAGCATATCTTGGCTTAGATTCACCTGACTGCCACCAAATTGTGGCCCAGACTACCTGGAGTCCCTGCCAGCCAACAACTTCATTCATTTACCTAGTCTTGTTGAAGACTTTCTTCTCTCTGCTGGGCCCACTGTCAGATAAGTGGTGTTTGCTATCCCTGGAACTTTTAGTGCAGTATAGGGCCATTGTTATATTTTTGTTAAATTTTCTGTTGCATTTGTGTGTTTTATGCCACCTATTTTGCATATGCCTTGTGTTTTTGGCTTCCTGTTTTGTGTATGACCTGTTTTAAATATAGCTCCAGCTGTGGGGGTTAGGGTTATCTTTCCTGTTGCCTGGCTTCTCTACAAGTTCTGGGTTTCCTCCAATTTGAGCCATTTCATTACAAGTCATCTTGCTTATGGGAAATGTGTGGGTTTGCTCTCCACTGTAAAGTCTGTTGATGAGATGTGATAGTGGTCAGCTTCCCAGGTCATCCAGCTTCACTATCTCACCTGGTTTGGTGGCCCCCCACCATCCCCAGTAGTTTCTTGAAGCTGAGATTGCTACATAATAAAGGGTCACATCTGTCGCAGAAGTTCTGTCTGACTTACCTGGGACCAGAACCAGTACTTGAGGGGGGGCCCCCCTCCCTGTTCCCACTCACATAGGCACAGGGAGTGGATGTCATTCTGCCACCCCACCAGAAGAAGCCTCCTGAAAGTTGGCAAAGGTTTACAGGCAACTGAAGGGTTCACAGAAGTTGAAGCCTCAAAACTGGTAAACAACTCTGCAAACAATTTACACAAAACAAAGGATTCACTCGAACTAACTCGAACCTCATTACAGTACTGCCAATTAGTCACCTCGTCATCTCGATACTGGAGCTGATGAACAATCCTAAGCAAACTGACACGCTTGGACTGGGATTCATCAAGCAGTTACACAAGTACTTACAAACTTGTGCATTTTTCTAAATCTTTCAGGGCTTTGTTATAAACCGTTTGTTTAAAAATCCCGAAGCACTAGAAGGCTGTTTATAACAATATTTGAGTGGGAAATTCCGATGCTCGTAAACTGTTTAATAAATGCAAAGATTGAGAAAAGATGTACAAGTTCATAAGTAGATGCATAAATGCTTGTTGAATCATGGCCCTGGAGGGAGAGGGGGGGGGGAATCAGGGAGCCACTGGGGGCTCATGCCAAAAAAAAAAAAAAAAAAAAAAAAAAAGGGGGCATTTTATTATTTTCATTGCCTGGTTTCTACAGGTAGCCCCCCCAGTGGCTTCTTGAAACTAATGAACCACTGAACAAAAATAGGACTTACCAGGAAGGAGGAGAACCAGCAGAGAAACCAGGCCAGGAAACACAGCCCAAGGCAACACATAACCAACTGGGACCAGGGACATTAACTAAATACCAGGTCACCAGAACCTGTCAAAACACCAAAACCCTCTGAGCCCAAATATTACCCCAAAATGAAGATGGTGGCCAAAGCAGTGGATTTAACATTATGGGCACGAGGGTAGGCCACGGGCAAGAGTTAATGACACTGAAGATTACCTGAAAAATGTGAGACATGGAATGGATTCAAAGAAATGGGGTCAACCAATGAAGCGTGCACAGAGGCAGAACCAGTGGCACCCAAGTTGCAGTGAAGGACCTCCACTGGTCACAACAAGTGATGCACCCCTGGCTGAACCAACCAAGCATCAATCAAGGGAACCCTCTGAAAGCCTACCTGACATCCCCTTCGTTTTCTTGGGGGCTTGGCAAGGGTTCTGTTGGACCCGTATGATTGACTGACAAGAGGTGTGTTCAGTCTTTCAGATAGTCTTGAGCAGTGGTTCTTAGGTTCACTCAGGGACTGCCTATTTGCCAAGGATATGGGCAAGTGGCAGCTCCATGTGCTGTGTTTTGTGGCACCTTTCAACTTCATTAAGTGGGTCACTGAAGTAATGTATTAATTCTCATGTACTTCCAACACCTCATAAAGAGCGGGCAACAACATATTGGTCCTTACTCTCAATGAGGCAATGTAGCCACAAGAGCCTGGAGTATCAATTTTGGCCTAGGAGAGCAATGGAGGTGCTGCCTAGAAACTGACATTTCATTACACTTCACACTTCATTTTGATCTTGTATAATGTAAAAATCTATTTGTAAAACACTTGTTCAGAATTTGAGATAGAACAATGGTATTACTTCTTGCAGATCGGCATTCAGTACCCTACTGTCCAAGTGATTGGGCACCAATCTTTCCTCCTATCCCAGTTCCTTATCCTCATATCTCCTTCCATGTGCTATATAGTCATAACGACTTAGTGCTTTCTCCTGATAATTACCTTGCCTTAAATTAGCAAAGCTTGTGTGTGCATTTAGAGTTGTAGAAAATTTGATTGAACAATTTGATTAATGATGTAAAATTTAAAACTCATAATTTTTTTTACAGGCCTTAGATTTGTTAGACAAACTTCTCACACTTGATCCTAGCAAGAGAACCGATTCCTCTTCTGCTCTGGATCACGACTTCTTCTGGACAGATCCAATGCCTGGTGATCTGTCCAAGATGCTGTCACAACACACACAGGTATTGTCCAATTATCATGTGCTAATAATTTATATTACTGATGCTTCCTAGAGCTAGCCACCTGGATAGCTATACAAATATCATGTCACACCAGGCTCTTGTGGGCCATAAAAACCTTACTCCCTACTAGTTACACTACCCACTAGTTACTCCTGCACTACCAGGTGGCAGCCATGGCAGCTTAGGGTCTAGCCGGTGATGCCGAATCCGTTTTGTGTCTGGTGCAATCCAACGTAGAGCTAATTGTGTCGCTGCCACCTTCCTAGTCCTGATTTTTTTCTGATGAGTGTTGACTTTCACTGAGACACAGTCCTTATTTGTTCCAGTTGTTGGGGTCTAACTTCATGTGCATATCTTTTCAGTACCTTACTGTTGAATGGTCCTTGAGTTACTTATTTGCCTCAAGCTTGCATGTGCTTAGGTAGCTTTCCCTAGGCACTCTAGTGTTGCCCCTTCTCGATTAGGGTTATTTCCTGTGCGTGTTCTATTTTTATTTTATTTTATTTATATATACAAGAGTTCTTACTCTCTTGTAAGAACATTCTTGCATTTTTGTAAGAACATTCTTACATTCTAGTGTCTGTTCCTTTGAGAACATCTCCCTACTGGCTCTTCTGTTCTGGCTCTTCTTGGTTTGGGGCATGTATGCATGCTAGACTTGTTGCATGCTACCTATCCCATCTTTAGCTGTTTTTTTTCTTGTCATGATGGATTCGAAGTTTGTGCAATCATCCCCTCACCTGGTTCAGTTTTATACCTGCCAGACCTAGCAACCCCCTGTGGGTCTTTGGTGTGGTTCGGATCTTCGTGTGAGAGAGCTACTTTTGCTGTGCGAGTTTGTAGGATGTGCCCTAGTTTTGTTCCATTCTTTCTACCTCCACCGTGATGCCTGTTGAGTGGAGGAAAGCTTCCAACCCTCGGGACTGCAATTTGTGTCATTGTTGGATCTGATGTGTGTAAGCCCCATTACAGGGATGGGACTTATGGGGCAGCTGATGCATTGTGAAAGAGAATTGTCCTATTTGCATTCTTTGCAGTGCTACACTGGCTGGGATGCCCCAGAAATAGTTCTGCCAATGTTTCCTGGTGGGAGGGGGGAGGGCTTGCTCAGTGGTTCTGTTGCTAACCACCTGGATAGCTCCACACATATCATTGTCACACTAGACTCCTGCAAGTCATCAAGTCATTAAAAGGCTGCAGTACTGGAGGCCAGAGGCCAAAACCTGGCCTCTGACATAAAAACATATACGACATAAAAACATAAAAACAGAGACTTCAGAGGTCATTTGTATTAGCAGGTGTTGTTTATAAAGTGCACATTCATCAAGTGGACGTTTGACAAATGTCCACTTTGGAGAATGTACATGTGATTGGAGCCATGTTAACAGTTACTATTCATGTCGTAATATTTCCCATGCCCTATGGGCTGATTTTACTGAGGGAAACTTTAATTTCGACTGTCGTATAAAGGAAAACTACCAAAAAAACCTGTCTGTAAAGAGATTTAACCACATCTAGTATATTTACCCATGCCCTAGCCTTGAAATCTCATTTCCATAGGAAGCAGGGGCCCATCTTTTCCTGAACGGAAACCTCTGTTACTGGAAATAAAAAAGAACCACAGAATTTTGTGTTAATATTGCTCAGTGGCTTAACCAAGGCTCCCCTCTTTATTCTAATCTTATGTCCATCTATGAAAATCATTAAAAAAGTGATTGGAGCCTATCAACACTTTCACATGCCCGGCAGGCGACCCACTGCGCACTGCGAGGTAGGGCGAGCGTTGAACGTGAGCACACAAACCACACACAAATGTGTTTTCTCTTTTTAGCTTTCTCACCTCAATTTTCATGCTACATCATTCATTCTGGTATCAAAGTGTTTGCAATATCATGGCGCACATTTTAAAACCAGTCCCATAATATTTGGACAGTCAATGGAATTTTCACATTTATTAATCCACGCAGTAGGCCGAGCGCCCATAAACCACACTCAAATGTTTATACTCTTTGAGCTTTCTTACCTCAATTTTTGTGCTACGTCATTCATTGTGGTATCAAATTGTTCGCAATATCATGGTGCCCATTTTAAAACCAGTCCCATATGCAGACAATAAATGGAATTTATACGAATGTATTAATTGATGACGGTGTTGCTGACATCAGGGCCTCTGCATATTTTGGTTTTGTGACGTTGAGACCGTCATCAGAACGCGAAAGTGTTAATTAAGAGAGTTACCATTCATACTGTTATACAGTATTTCCCATGATCTATGGACTGATTTTGCTAAGGTAATCTTTAATTTTAATCTATGATATGATGGGCAACTTTTCCACCAATCTGTGAAGTCTGTCCAAATATTCTAAGCAAATCCGCACATCACCTTTCCGTTAACTCTTGTTTGTGGAATGTGGCAAGAAAATCTGGCCTGGAAAGTGTGCGTTCCGACCGGACAGCCGCCGAGTCAAGGTTCATTGAACCAAGATTCCACTGTATATTAGGATAACTGAAAGGTAGAGAGGACAGTCATTGGAAATTGCAAGGGGTCTTGCATCAGACCCGAAAGAACATTTATACAGTACTCAAAATGCTCTGCATATTAGTGGGTTTATGTATTGTACTTCTCTTGCCCCTCTCTCATCTCAAGATATACCTACAAATACTGTACTATGTATTAATGTATCATATGTATGTACTCTTGTATAATTAAAATATTATTATTGTTGTTGTTATCATTAGGTTGGCTATGATCTATTATTCTCTTTTCAAAAACGTATAGGGCAGAACAGTACATAGTTTATATACATCCAGCATTTGGACAATCCTCTCAAAGATGGATCTTTATGCACTGTAGTTTTCATTCCTCTTACCATTTTTTTCAAATAAGTTAGGCCATACTTAGCCTCATACTTGTGACAGTTTTGTTAAGCACAATATCTTTGGGTAGTTCTCCTTTTTATTTCATGGTATTTGTATCTATATAAATCTCTTTGCTTTCAGAGTATGTTTGAGTACTTGGCACCAGCAAGAAGACCGGGTGCATCAAACAGACCTGTGATTCAGCCTCGACAACCAGACAATGTGTCGTCTTACCAGGAACGTGTATATTAAGGAGGAACATGAGCTTTAAAATTAGAGTAATTAGATTTTTAATGTTAATTTTTTGTACAGTATATTCCTGGTTTATGGGCAGTTAGTGTTGGTGCTCATGGGTAAAATGCATAATCATTCATTTGACTTGCAATGCTTTTCTAGATATCACAAAAGCTAGCATCTACATTCAGAATACTGTATATTGATCCAAAATTTTACATATATTCAATTTAGGATCAAATGTGATGACAAACTGGTATTCTTTGGCTCTCAGGATTTTATGTTTTGAAGATAAATGGTTTTTATCTTTAAATGGATATTAAATAGTTGTGCGAGATTATATTAAAGGTAACTTTAGAAATCTGTTTTTTTTCACAGAATTCATATAGGTCTTCAGTGTTTGCTTCCGTATATGGTAATTATTATTGTAAAATGCTTTTGTATTCTATATATTAAAAAAAGATGTCATCAGTAATATGCATATTTCCTTAAATTCTCAAGGAAATAGTTTTTTTATGTTTACTGTCCAAATATGAAAAACATTGTTTTTAATCAAGGACAGAATTTCAGTGATCATATACAATAGGCATCCCATCCTCCTAAATTGAAAGTACAGTACTTAAAAGTAACAATATGGTGGAAAGTACCAATATGTAGTGATTGACCACCAGAAAGTTTACTTTAGTATTACTGAATTTGGACTCGCCAGACACTGTTTTAATTGTTTAAGTGTAACCTAGGCTAACCTAACCTCTTAGCAATTCTTGGCCTAATACTTGCTATCTAATAGAGTATATATATGTACTATACTAGGCCTAGGAATATTTCAGTTTGATTTTTAGGTTTATTTTTTCCTGACTATGAAATTAATAGTACAAAAAGCGGTTTACCGGTAGATCATCACTACATATTGGTACTTCTCACGACATAGGTACTATAAGTACTTTCTATGATTTCGGGAGGGATGGGTTCACAGTATCATAGAAAATGTTGAAAACTGTTGAAATTTTCCTATTGGTGTAAACTAGTGGTATCCGTTGTTGACTTCTTGTAAGTATTAAATGTTTTAGTTTTGACTTACTGAGAAAGTGTCTTGTTACTGCTAAAAGTAATCTAACCTTCTCAGTAGTTCACACTTCAGGAAATGATACAAACTTGTTGGGATTCAGAGATTTTTAGATCCATGTGTAATTTTTATTAAATGTAAAGATAACTTACAAGCGGGCATTGTTAGAATGCCTTGGAAATATGAAACATAATGATGATAATCATTACATGAAAAGATGTCAACATAGTGCCATATGAAAATAAATCATTGCTGGGAACGTTGCTGTATCAAATCTCTGTACTATGCTGTATCTATCCCTGGTAAACTCGACTTCACACACACACTGTCCTAATTAAACTCGGTTTCACATACTGAGATGCCATATTCTAAGCACCTCATTGTTGTTACTTTGTGTTGCTTAAAATATTTCACTTTTTTTTTTTTTTAACGAGGCTATCATCAGCTTTTTGTGGTTGCTTTTAAAATAGCTGTATGACTTTGTTGATCTTGTAAATATTGCTTTTCCACATGGTGATCTGCCATGCATTCTCAAACTGTCTTGTTTCTTTATAAATTGCTTCACTTGTTGCTACCTCTGTAGTGTATAAGATATGGTGAATAGGTGTTATTTTGTAATATCTTTAACTTTTTTTTTGTATTGTTTTCTTGTCTTTTCTGACTGTTACCTTTCTGCCACTTGAAATTCAAATATGGGATAATTATGGTGACGATATCTAAGGGGCCGGCTCCACTTCATATAATTTTAAACTTTTGGTAAGTGAAACTTTTAACACATGATTTTTTATAGCCAAACCACTATGTTTCAACAATTGGTTGAAGTTTTGCTGCAGAGCCCTTAGCTATAGGTATGGGAGGTGCTTAGTGGCCAAAATGCTCTGCCTTTACTTTGAAGCTAACACGGAACAAGTCATGTGTGTGCAGAAAAAATAAGTAGCCATCAACTAGCTCTAAAAGAATAGTTATTATAAAATATTTGTTTAGGACTAACTCATGAAGGAAGGTCATTGATACATAAATTCTTCACATATACAATTATAATTTTTATCCAGAATGTTGCAGATGTGTATAGTATGAAAAACAAGAAATTCATGCTCTCTTTTTCTTACTCTGTAACACTGTGAAAGAAACAAAACAGACTAAAGATAGGGACAGGACAGGAAGCCAACATCATCTTGAGGTTATCATGAGATGGTTTCGGGGCTTAGCGTCCCCGTGGCCCAATCCTCGACCAGGCCTTATGTTTGTTACACACCCCCAGGAAGCAGCCCGTAGCAGCTGTCTAACTCCCAGGTACCTGTTTACTGCTAGGTGAACAGGGACATCAGAGTGAAAAAACTTTGCCCATTTGTCTCCACCTCCACCGGGGATCGAACCCGGAACCTCAGGACTACGAATCCGATGCGCTGTCCACTCGGATGTCAGAGAGGACAGGGAAACGGAGATTAGAGGTGAGGAAGCGAGAAGAAAAACCTGGGTGTAACAGGTACTCCCCTTAGTTCATTATACAGTAAATCATTCTGATGCCTTTATACATTTTTGTTTTTGTACATACAGTGGTCTACTATGCAAAGCTCCATATATTTCAAGATTAAATGAAGGATAAAGTTATGGGCAGGAAAAATGACTTGAAACTCCTGTGAATCACATAATATATATACAGTATTGGAAATTATACTTCACTTTTACTTATGGTGCTAAATGCTTATAATTCATTACATCCTTAACATGTGTAATATGGAGTAATGTTTAAATATTTTGGTAGAGGCTAGATGGATATCTTTGACTTAATTATTTCAACAGTTTATCATTGATTAGGATGGTTTTTGAACAAATCCACAAGGGCCGCCGTGACTAGGGTTTGAACCTACGTCCGAGAGGATCGCAGACGCGCCTTAATCGACTGAGCTACAACATGATATAAGAATTAAGTAGATTAATTTGTTCCTTTTAATTAAGCCGATTAATTAAACAGTCGATTAAGGCGCGTCTAGGATACTCTCGGACGTAGGTTCGAACCCTCGTCACGGCCCTTGTGGATTTGTTGTTTGATGCATCACGCTATTGTGATGTCTGTGTGTAATAATGGTTTTTGTTTTAACCTGTAACTGGTTTTGAGAGTTTTGCTACTCACCACCTGACATGAGAGAGGCTTTTCTGGTGATGTTATCAGCCAGACTATTTAGTTCTTGAGGCCAGCAGGCCAATATTGCCATCACAGCCTGGATGATTTGCTAGTTCAGCAGCTCCTCGACTTTCCTGTTGAAGCATTTTTTTCATTATTTCTGGAATATAAGGAAAAATAGGGCTTAAACCAGATGACATTGATTTTTTCCAACTTATTTCAGTGACTTCTGCCTAATTATTTTCATAACATTATTTATGCAATTTAAAACTACAAGTATAGAGAAATTTGATGATTTACATTTTGGTCTGTAAATGGCTGTACTGGAATATGAAAATTTCTTTATTGCACATGTCTTTGCTACAGCTCATATCTTAATTTTATACTTGGAAAGCCCCATTTCTTAAATTTAGTGAAGCCCGAACTTGTAAAGTGATGTCTTTACTCCCACTTTCCTGCAACGTAAAGTGGTGTCTTTGCTCCCCCCTTTCCTGAAACTACTTTTTGTTAAACATTTCCACCGTCATTCTTACTACTTGGTACTGTTCTAATTATGGACGGGTCAGAATCTGCTAAAGGTATTGACATATCCATTATCTTAACTAATCAATCCTTTGTGTGCCACCTACCTCCAGAGCAGTATTTTTGCCGGAGAACTTTATGATATTTGCTCTAAGACGATTATATTTCATGAGTTGATTATCAATGGTCATTGTGGTTAACTCTTGAAGTACTCTCATAGCCTTGGAGTCTGTTCACCCTTTTCACTGCTGATATCAATAAAATAGCAAATACCAGTTATAAAATAAATCTACTCGTACTAATTTTGTCTCCTACAAGCTAATTTCTTACTCAGATTTCTATCTTGTTCTTAATGTGATTTGCAGTCTTTGGAGAGATAAGTGTTAGATTGTTAGTTAGTGTAACAAACTGCATTTACTTTCATCAAATGTGTCCTATTCCTGACGCCTTTATCTTATAACTGAAATAGAAAGTGGAAATTATCTCTCGCTTGATTATGTATTGGCTCTATAAGATTAACTGTAGGACACAATGGAACATAGACCTGCACCATAATGTCAGACCTGCATCGTTCTGCTTGTGGTCACTCATCTCCTGGTGAAATGTCTCGACTTTCTGGATTACTGGAAGTTTTTCTCTCCTGCTATTCCTTTTCATCAGACATCCCTTGATAAAATCCTCAGGAAATCCAGCTCCTATAGCAGTGGCCATTGTGTTAGCAGTTACTACCAGAGGTAAAACTGCTCTCATATTGGCATTCTGAATGACATCTAGGAACTCTTGACTGTTCTGTTCTAATAGACAGTACTAAATTAGCATTGACTTTTGATTAAGTACTTGTCATGGATAGTAGGTATGTTTAAGGTAGTGATCCCAAAAAAAATTTTGAACAATTAATATACGTCTTTTAGTGCATTACTATTCACAAATCATGTAACGTACTTTTGGCTGTTAATCATCTCTGGCGTCTAAGTTTAAAATCAGCATTGCCTCTTACCTCATTACCCACTTCTCATGTAGTATGGTAGTGAAGACTCGTCGTACAGGAAAATAAAAATCTTCAAAAGATGAAAAGTTAGAAAATATTGGTGTTGTATCTGATCTTGGGCAATATATTATTCACTATTCCGAAAACATCGCAACTTGGCAAAATATTCAGAGTTGTATTTAATCCATTTCATAATTTAAGTATTGAAGTATTACATAGGAATTACCACAGCAAATCATGTCATTTCTTCTCGCCAAACATTATAGTCAGTCATATTGTGATTTTTTGTATGCCTTGTTCACAAGTATACAATATATTGTCACTTTTACATTATTTTCATGTATACCATAATGTAATTTGTTGCGCATTGTTCACATGTAAACAATAGTCATTTCTTGTGCAGTTTTCACATGTACCATATTGTCATTTCTCGTTCATTGTTCATATATATACCATATCATCACTTCTCATGCATTGCTCACATGCAGTATGTACCATATAATTACTCATGTGCAGACTTACATATTATGTACTCATATATTGTTCCATGTATACAGTATTGTCACCTCTCTTCCATTGTTCACATGCTTACCATATTTTTAAGCATACTGTATCTGTCCTCTGTGTTCTGGGCCTTCCTCTCTTCCAATCCTGATATTCACTTACGTGCACTTGCCCATTCATTCCTTAAAAATTTATTCTTTATGACCATAGCACATTCTACCCACTTCTACAGGTCTGTAAACTGAAGCCCATATTTCTAAAATACAAGTGTAATCATTGCATACCAGATCTGTCTTTGTTTCTTCTGGAATTGGCAAAGCGTTAAAGAAAACTTTCAGCCAGCAAAGTGGTCTACTTCGTCAGTTCATAACTGAGGGTTCAAGTCCAGGGCAGGACAGAGACCATTGGGCACATTTTTTCTTAATGATATATATCACTAAGAACTCTAAGTGACCCGACCAGGATTCGAACCCGCGCTGCTCAGGATCAACCCTAAATGTACTCAGTACTGTGATCACCTCAGTTGAGAGGTGGTCACAGTGCTGCAGATGCATTGTTCCACTAACAGTTGCCCACCACCTTAGAAGGTCCTGATTTTTAGGTGATTACACTTTGTGCTTTCCCAGTGTTCCTTTGAGTCGTATGTCCCTTGATGAAGTCCTCAGTGAATATGATACAGTACCTTTAATGCTTTTTTTTTTTTTTTTTGTATCTCTTTGCTCTCATATGGATATCCTTAATGATATCTAGGAACTTGTGAAAATTCTGTGTCACAGACAGCGCAAAATATTCTTTCAGGCTTCTTGCCTTCTTTTGATAATTGCTTAAATGGGTTCTGTAGTCTTTTTGCAACAATTTTCACTGCATTGTGAAAGGTTCATGGTTTTTATGTTTTCACATAAAATATAACACGTCTTCAGATTTGGTACACAAATGCTTTGTGAACTGTGTGCTTATTGCTTAGTGTCTTCCGTGCCTTCCTATGATCAATCACTATTATGAGTGCATATTTATTTCTGATCAGAATGAAGAATTCAAGGAAATTTCTTTATATCTTGTACATCTCTTTGGATTATATAGTGTTGTATGTTTCTTTAAGACATTAGCAGGTCTTGGGAGTTTTAAATTTTGTTGTATATTTTGGATATCATGTTTTTGGTTTATAAATATATTCCTGGGCTAAATTCCTTCATTTCTAATACAAACTTCCTTTGAAAACTTTCAGTTTTGGCTTCCTGCATTCTTAGGGGGTTCTGTAGCTATTTTGAGAAGTTTGCAGAACTAAAAAAAAAAATTTCTTTTTAATGGTGGAGTTGTTGTTTCTGGTCTTAAATTACCTGGTTTTCTAACCCATGGTGGCAGTTGCAGAAACCATTATTTTTGTCTTAATACAGTAAACCATATCCCAACACCTGAATCACAACTTTTTGTTATGTGGGCCATTGCTATCTCAGTGCTTCCACTGAAGCACTGTATTTTGATATGTAATTGTCATGAGATAACATGTTTTACTTTTATCATTTATATAATCTTGTTTTGAATGATTTTGAATTAGCTTTTTCATTTTAACCGAGAGCCATTATTTCTGTCTAGTGATTTATTACACATACGACTAATTTCCTGATGGCAGTTATTTTGCCTTGTTTCTGGTTATTGTCTAACAGCACTAATGGAATTATAATTTATATATACACGTTTGCATTGGGATCATTCATTGTGCTACTTAGTTTTTGGATTGCCCTGCTCTATGATGACATTTCTGGAGTGCACTCCTTAATATTATTCAATGGTGCTATTTTGATAATGCTATTACCAGTTTGCTCTCATGAAGTGTGCAGACAGTCTTGATGAAGACAGAACTTACATACTAGAGATGAGATATATATTGGAGGAGGTATTACAGTGCAGTACTTTATACTAGAGGCAAGATTTACATGGTGGATCTGATCAAGATGATCATGGTATCATGATCACAAATCACTTGCATGTTGAAAAGGAATATTAGTTGATATTTGCCATATTTAAAAGACTGTGGTGAAGGCATTACTTTCAAAATATGCTTAGTGCTTGTGTTGTGTACATACGGCTTTTCTTATGGAAACAGGGTTCGTGTTTTGGAGACAGTTAGTGTAATAGAAATGGGGTGTGTGTGTGTAATGGAGATGATGGTGGATATAATCTTATGTAAATGAAATAACACTGAAATGGTGAAGGTAAGGCTTTTATAACAGCATTTTTGTCATTGGATACTACTGTATTTTAGTCAAAAAATATTTAACTGTAGTGCAGATGTAGCTCAATTAGTGATGTTTGCATTTAACGTTTTTAAACCCATTTTATGAAATGGGGCTTTGACACGGCACAGAGATTAATGTGGGGAGGTAGGACAGGAATATTAATACCTGGGTGGAATCTTAAAATGCCACATGATTATATACGGCTTCTAGCATTAAGTATCTCTTATAGGTAGGTTATGGTGAAGTGGAGTGAAATAACGCAAAGTACATAAAGAGAGAGTTAATTCTTGCATGTCTCATAATTAAAAGATTTTAAATTATAATATATTTCAAACTTGGCATCATGAAATACTATGTTCCTGTAACTAAACAAGAAGGATTAGCTTAGTCTGTTGCTGGCTTCCTGATGCCTACCTTACTATTAGGACCAAATTCATGAATGAGTTCATTAAAGTCTTCAGGGCTATCACAGTGCACTACCATGTTGCATATGTGTCTTGTCCTAAACTTTTCTTATAAAATGAGGATAAATAAAAATTAATAAGTTTTAGTTACTAGAACATATATGAAATAAAATATAATATGCAGTATTGTTCTTTCTTGCAAAACTGGCTTTATTCTTACATATGCTATTATTTTCTCTGATATGCTTGTTAAATTTCTGGGCCCCATTTATTAAACATGTAAAGATTGTATTATTAAAAAAAGAAAATATGCTTAAAGTAATTTATAGGTCATTGGTATTTAGGTTGTGGAAAGATAGTCATCAGTGCTGGGATTAAATCATTGGATTGGGATAATGTTTGTATAATATGAAATTGACTTATTCATGGTGATTGCTCTTGTGTGTGAGGCCTAAAGTAGCTGTGTTTAAAATATAGCATTAATAAGCATGATTTAAAATGGTACTCTATTATGTATCTATAACACTGTTGGCAACAGGCAAGAAGTTGTGTGCAGGAGTAAAGGAGAGTAATACATGGTAAACCTCTTGATGCACATCTCTGCTGTTTGAAAAAGGATTAACTATATAAAATACTGCTGAAAATGGAAAATTAAGGTACTTAAAACTGTAAATATAGTATTTAATTGATCAGATGATCACTGGAGCTGATTTAGTGGCTCTTAAGGGAGGAAGGCAATATGGTTTGTGAGCTGCCCAAAAATATGGAAGTTTAATTCAAATTTAAATATGATAATGGAGTATAATCATCTAGCAGAGCCAATGAAAAAGCAGTTAACATAAGCAGGCGATGAGTCACAATAACGTGGCTAAAATAAGTTGACCAGACCACACACTAGAAGGTGAAAAGACGACAACGTCTGAAGACAATCGACTTGAGAGTGGTCCAGGATGGACTGAAACGTCGTCATCCCTTCACCTTCTAGTGTGTGGTCTGGTCAACAGTTAACATAAGTGAATGTATAGTCTGAAGCAAAGATAGGGGAAGTGCAGACCATTGACGTGGTTGTTCATGGAGGCAAGTGCCCGGTATTGAACTAAGAGTAAAAAAATATGCAAATAGTATTTTGAGCTATTGTACATAAAGTGGTTGCAAACTAAAAGTTCTAATAGTTTTCATGTTAATAAGTAGGAGTACTGTAGGTGCAAGAGGTGGCCATAGATGAAATGATAGGCAAAAAAATATTGCATGATTGTGTGATAGGTGAGTTAGGACATATAAATAATTGCATTGCATGGTGAAAGGTGTGTATGATATGGCTAACAACCTGGCTACCCAGCTGGGGGGATGGACGCTGAACCATGTGTATGTGTCTCTACATGTATTTATGTATGTATGTAATGTAAGTATTTAGATATTAGTAACATAATTTTTTGCCTCATAAAATATAACTTTGTTTACCATAATTGTCAGCTTTTAATATAGAGTACTTGATCATAAAGAGTAGGTGAAGTAAGAGACTTTCACTTCTGTGTAATATATTGCATGAAAAAGGTTTTTGTTGTTTCCTCATTGTGTTTTATGTTTGTTTTATATGGTAATGACAGTTTAAAGTTGTTCATATAAAACCTACTGTACTATATGCTCAAAGGGAGAGTTCCTCGCCTAATCACTATATACGCATGGTCTTCACTTGGTTGTGTTGTATCCTCCATGCTCATCACTTGAATTACCTTTTATAACATTACTGAAACTTTTTTTTATATTAGCAGTGGACATAGATGTTGATTATTTTATTCAAGGGGTATGTTAACTGTGTAATGACCAAAGGAAAAGAGATCTTGTCTTTGTCATTCAAAGACTTCACAGTACTGCAGCTTGAATGCTTTCAAATTATTGTATAATTTATTAGTACTGTATATGGAAATATTTCTTTGGGGGAAATGAACAAGTTTAATGCTAATTTAAATTTTGAATTGCTTACAGGTAATAACAGTATATTAGTATTGTACTGTATATACAGAGTACATTAAGCAATTTGAGAGTGCATCAATGTTTTAAGGTGCCTTTATTCTCTTCATTAAACTTAAAATTCATTATTTTTGTCAAGCATTAATAGTTTTTCACAAAATACCTTATTCGAAGTAAATGTAATATGAATTTCCTTTGATAGTTCTGTACAGTTCATTTATCAAATGAAAATAATTTTCACCATGTTGCCTACATTTTTATCTGAAACGATAAAGAAGTTTTAAGTTGTCATATGTGAAATTGAGTTTTATGATGATAATTTTTTTTTAAATCCATTAACTTGTATAATCTGCTATATAGTATTTTCATCTGTTTTCCTTAAAAGATGATTATTTTAAATGGGCTTATTTAATATAATCTACACTGAAATTTAAATAGGTACTTATGAATGATATCATCTTGACTGGAATACAGACATAATTATGTTCCCTAATAATGTATGGAGCATGATTATTTACATAAATTTTGTTGTGATTTAGTAGATGTATTATACTACACGTATGTCAATTTGAGACGCGACAAAAATTTCATCCTGTTCCATCTAAGGATATACCTGTATTGAATTGCTTAACAAACTGGTTTCTTTTTGTCTTTAATTTGTGAGTTAAATTAAACAACCAATAGGCAAGTTTTGCAGATACTCAAGGTACGAAACAATTAACAAGTTACTACATTAGGCCTACTAATAACCGAGATAACCAAGATACTATGTATAGAAACACCATGAGAAGAGTTGATTTGGCATTTCTATAAATTGTCGTTATATTGTTTTCTCTTCAACCATGTGTTCTACTGTTATCATAGCTCTATTACCATGATGACTATGTTATTTCAAACACGATATTCTTTTGTCATTTTTTTTAATTTGTTATATTGATTAATTACAAGTATTGTTTATTAAATTATTCTGCAAAACTAGTGTTGACTGCTGTGATGATAATACTGAATGATAAATATACAGTAATTGATTATGGCCTGTAAATTTATTTCAGCTCAACAGGGTGTCATATTTTATATATATATAAATATATAATAAGTGTGTGTGTGTGTTAGGGGGGGGGGTCTCTCACAAACACCGAACATCTCATGCTGGTAGAAATCATTTCTACTCGATTAAAGAAATATCTAATAAAAATTACATAAAATCTTAAGAGTAATGGGAGGTAATTGCTACAAAATAACAAAATAAGGGAGGAATTAATACATTGCTACCATAATTTCCTTGTACTGATTCCTTTGTAATGCAAGCAGTGAGGTGTATGCACACACACACACACACACACACACACGCATGCACGCATGATAACTAAACCTGGGCTAAGTCTCAAATGCAAGAAAAGACACGTGGTTGGAACACTTCTAGAGTCTGTAGTACTTGGCAACCTACATTAAAAAGCAACATACAAATTGTATATTATAATTTATAATACGAGTACAAGTCCATTTAAGCATTCCTAAAAAAAAAATAATGTTTATACTGTAACTAAAAACATGAGTTTATCCAAGCGTGAAATAAAAAGTGGGAATGCACTTGCTGAATCAGCTGGGTGAATTTTGGCAACTTTTTCTAACAATCAAGATTTATCAGAATCATATTTTGGCTAGGGAATAGTGCAGTTAATCTTTGACTGTATTGTGGTAAAATTAACCAAGGTATGTCCAGTTCCCAATTCTTCATAGCAGTCTAAAGGTTTCAATCTGTTCTTTTGACGCTACACAGGACATTAGTATAGGACTAATTTGAACCTGCGATATGCAGGATTAAGAAATAATAAGATATATTGAGGTTGGGTTGCTAAGCTGGTTTTGGTTGAACATCTTGTTTAATAAAGTGCAGGCCTACTTAACTTAAAACATTAAATTATCGATTTTTATGAAATTTTAGTTTATTAAGCAACTGTTAGGATGGATTATATATATATATATGTATATTATATATATATATATATATAATCTAAAAATTTGATTTACAAAGTTCTCAGCTTAAGTTGATGAACTAGGCAACATGTGAAGGCTGAAGGGGTTAATTCCCAGGTTTGTTGTTGCCCAAGGACCATTGTGGCATCTTGCTCTGTAGACAAGGAGTAAAGTATTTCCTTGGTCTTGAGTACATTATCTTTATCTAGTTTTATTATTAGAATATATACTTTTTTATTCACAATAAATATACATCTGTGATATCAAAAGCATGTTAAGACCTTTATACTTGTGACTCATGTTGGGTCTTAGTAAATCTGGCATTTTATTCCTTGTTTCATTGTTCCCAGCAAACCACCGTACAGTATTTGAAATGGACTTCCCTCATGATTGTTGGTACCTGACCAGCCTCTGGTCACCTCTCCTTTCCCATCCTGCCTTTTCTGTGGCAGTGGCTATTACTATTTCACCCAGTATGACCAACTCTATTCCTTTTGAATACTTCAGTGTAACTATGGCACCATATACCTGATTATTCCAGAAGGCTGTGGCATCATACACTTTATCGACTGATAAGTACAGTACTTGCTTAACTATTACTGGTTTACTGCAATAATTGTGGCTGTGGCCTGCCTGCATTCTCATGGTCCTGTGTTCATATCAAAATAGAGCAGGCTATTCTGCCCGTCCAACTTTTCTGTGTAGAAGTGAATAATAAAGGTCTGCAAAGTTGTCACTTTTCTTGGATATGCAGGACAGATTAGCCTGCTTTTGATATTATAAATCAATTGGATAGCACATCTCATGATTAAATGCTTTCATAAGAAAACCTTCCAGCTATTCAGGCAGAATGAGAAGAAAAGAATATTGATGCAGAGGCAGATGTTGCTGAAACTGAAAAAAAGATAATGTATAATATTGATTCTAAGCTTGTATTTCCTGGTTTTATACTTAAAGTCCAAATAAAAGTAACAGCAGAAAGTTCAACAGAAAACTCTACTTGTACTGACAGCAAAGAAAGACATAGTGAGATGTCAAAATAAATATTTGCAAATATTTTGCTAAGGGAATAGGAAGATATAGACATAGAAGCCGTAAATACCAAGATTTTTTTAATTTCAAAATCAAACTGAAAAAGATTATCAAGGCAAATGGAGGGGGGGGGGCCTCGACAAGCCGCCGGCTTCCTGTTCTCGTCGAGGCCACTAGTGGAAGTAACCCCTCAGGTAAATATTGAAAACAAATCACTGACGATGCAAGAGACAACCACGCCACATTTCTCCTAACCAGCATTAACAAACCTCCATTTGAAGCAATTAAAATTAGCTTCAGATTACCTACAGAAGTTTCTTTAAGCAACAGAAACTCGGAAAATAAACTCGTATATATGCAAACATATGGCAGTTTATTAAAGGGATACTTCACTCGTTCAATAAAAACAAATATGGGAAGAAATACAGGACAGGGGGGGGGGTCAATCTTATCGAATTTTCTAAGAGGTATTCTTCAATGCTTTCTAAGATAACAAAAAAGTCACGGCAATCTACTATGAAAATAAATCTAATCAAGTAAAGGATAACATGAAAAAAAGATATTAGGATCAAATTAAAACTATTTGTAACTGGAAATGGTGGAATGTTATCAGCCGCTGACACTGGAACTATATTCAATATTTTCTTCTCATCCCTTGTGCTTATAATTGCGACCCCCAACTACCGGCACCGGTGACAGGCGCCGTCTACATGTAGGAGAGGTAGAAATAGCCTAAGCTGCTCTATCCCTTTGAGATGTATTTTTTCTTGTCTCAATAAACATACTTGAACTAGCGGTCTACATTTGTGTCAAATCTAATAAAGTGTAACATGAATGTGAAGTATATTATAAAAAGGTTATCGAAAATATCAGTCATAATCAATACTGTCGTATACGAAAATTCCATTGAGAAATATGTATTATAAAAATAAATTAGTAATCAGCGAGGGATGGCAATAGTGTCAGAGAACGGAGAGCTGGTCAGTCCCACGGCGCGGCGCCGCCATGTTGGTGAGGTCCTCCTCACTCGAGTATTTCCTTGTAATAGTGTATCCCCGATGACATCTATCGTAACGCGATTACCGGCAAACAGCAGCCAACTTGACGTAGAAGGCTGTGACACGACGGTCGGAGACTGGAGGACCTGATAAAGCGGTAGATGTGCTCGCTGCCAGCCGGAGCACAAGGACCACCTTGTAAGGGCGCCAGATGACGTCGTCAATAGTGAGTAGATCTTTCCTTATATCTTATAAAATTTTTGTTAAACAGGAACCCTGGAGAGCACGGAATAGACGATTTTGTTGATCACGGTGAATAACATTATCTAAGGTCTGCTATTGCAAATTAAAAGAAGAGACGACGACGTTTCGGTCCATCTTGGACCATTATAAAGTTGATAGAGCTGGAGTAAGCAGGTATGTACTCTTGCAGGTCATCATGTACCTGGGAGCTGTCATTGCAAGATATCAACAGCTCCTGCTAATGAGAAGATAATACAGTAGGATACAGTAACTGGAAATTACAAAAAAATCGTTGTCGAGTTAGGCTAACTGCTTTTTTTTTTAAATTTTAAGACTTTTAAAATTTAAAATTTAGGTAATATGTGCAGTTGTACCTAAATTCTGGTTTTAGCGAGTAGGTTGAGAAAATTTTAATTTATAATACCTACACGTTGATCTATGGAAAGGTTGTGTTCAGGATTCAACCAGTATATACGCAATTTGGCGGGTTTCTTCACATTTATTGTATATGAGCATCAAAACATCCCAATCGAATGTTGTTATTGTTATAAACAGTCTCCGAGTGTCTCGGAGCTTACGAACTGTTTTTTATATGTACATAAAGACCCCAAAGATTGAAAAAAAAGATGTTCGCTAGTGATGAGTGATGCTTGATGAATCCAGCTCCTGCTATCCTGTGGGGCGCCGGAACATTTGATAGCACATCTATCAAATGTTCCGGTATAATGTTCTAAAATCGCATCTATTTGATGCGATTTTACCCCTTGGGCCTGCATATTGCAATCTGGTATACCTCTTCAACGGCTCGAATTGTTACGACGCTAAGAGCGCCCTTATCGCCAGCGGTCACAGGTAAGTGATAGATTTTTCCGTTCTTCGGCTGATTTTTCAGACGGAGAGACGGTGTCCGGCGCCGGCTTGCGGGTCTTGGTGGGCTCGTGGAGTGCCCTCGTGGCTGGGTGGGCTGCTCGTTGTGAAAGACGCTTTTCGCAATATCTTTTTTTTTGCAAATTCGTTGTTTGCGTATTTCACAATTAGGGCGATATCGCTGAAAGACGTTTTTGCGTATTTGCCCACGTGTGTGCGAGTTCAGGAGGAGCCATCGCATTTTTGCTTCAACTTCGTTTACTACCCAGTGTTTTCTGTATGTAGGTGAGCCTGCCTCTCTGAGGGACTCCAGGGGGCTCCTCAAACGTCAGCCTACCAGTGTGTTTATCCGTTGCAAGGCGTTAGTTTCCTCAGATAGGTAACGTAAGCTGTAAGGCTTTTTATTTTACCTTTAAAAGGGAACACCAGGGCACAACGGGTACCACTGCCGTCATTGCCCCAAAATTAAACAACTACTTAAACAACACAAGCAAGTGTGTTTCTAATTGAAAGTCAAGTCAAGCTGGGCCATAATACTCGTGTAAAATACTTGCAAATTGCAATTATATATCAGCCCATCCTCCTGAAATGATTATTCATAGTAATTGGTCGAAAGTATCAATATATAGTGATGGACAACCAGTAAACTACTTTTTGTACTGTTAATTTATAGTCCGAAAACATGAAGCTAAAAATCAAACTTAAGTAATTTATAGGCCAACTAAATCACACATTAGAACTATATTAAGCCTTAGGTAACATGTATTAGGCTTAGGATTGCTAGGAGAGGTTAGCTATGGTTAGGTCTTACATTTATGTTGCGGTTAAAAAAGTTTCTAATTTGTCCAAATTCAATAATACAAAAGTCGACTTTCTGATGGTCTATCACTACATATTAGTATTTTCGATCAAATAGTTACTATCATTCCTCCCATTTTAGGAGGATGGATTATTGTATGTATATGTAACAATATGACCAGGGCAATGAAAATACTAATCTTAGGAAGTGCACGCGAAATGTAATTTTTTTTGAAGGATATTTTAAAATATTCAGCCTCTTGTAGCGTAGTCCGAGTAGAGTAAGCGTTTTTAGCCTTAAGAAAATTTAATATTCTTACGACAGCCTATCGGAATTTACAGGCTAACTTGATATGATCTGATAGAAAACAAAAACAAATAATATGTATGTAAACTCACCATGTGAGTTTTGTCTTCGGTAGATCTGGGAAATATTAAGTGTGACCTATAAGGAAATTGTCACGGTCTTTTAAATAAAAGAGCAAACAAAAAAGTTCAAAAGACAAATTTAGACGTTATATTTTTCAGTGTAACCCAAGGGTAACAAAATCCCACTAAATCTGGTATAACCATGTTTCTTCTATACAGTATTCCTTGACCGTGTTTGAAATTTACACATTAAGTAGCCTACTGCATTTTTTGTTTAAACATTCTTAAGGCCAAAACCCTATAAATAAACAAACTAAATTCCGGAACCCTAGGCCTTAGCAAGAAGCAGCATTTCTGGTATGTTATAAATATCTGGTATGGTATAAATGGGGTTAAGTCAGAGTGGGATAATGTTGTTAGTGGAGTACCTCAGGGCTCTGTCCTGGGACCTGTGTTGTTTATAATATATATAAATGATTTAGATTCAGGTTTGAGTAGCAACATTTGCAAATTTGCCGATGATACGAAAATCGGTAGGGAAATTAATTCGGAGTAGGACTCACTATCACTTCAAGTTGATCTAGATAGGGTTTTGAAATGGTCAAAGGATTGGCAAATGCAGTTTAATGGTGATAAATGTAAAGTTCTGAGGCTAGGTAATGATGATAGAGTTACAAGATACGAGCTAGATGGTGTTGAGATTGCGAAGTCGGATTGCGAAAGGGATCTGGGAGTTATGATTAGTAAGAATTTAAAACAAAAGGATCAATGCATGAATGTTCGTAATAAGGCGAATAGGACACTGGGATTTATTAATCGAAGCGTTAGTAACAAGATACCTGGTGTGGTTCTTAAGCTATATCTTGCTCTGGTTAGGCCCCATTTATATTATGCAGTTCAGTTGTGGTCGCCGTATTATAGAATGTATATAAATTCACTTGATCGTGTCCAACGTAGGATGACTAAGTTAATTCCCCAAATTAGAAATCTTTCATATGAAGAAAGATTAACAAAGCTTAAG